TTGTTTTATGTGACCAAACCATCTAAGGCGACTCTCTCTAATCTTATCTGGCATTGGAGTTACTCCAACCTTTTCACGTATATGCACATTTCGTATTATGTATCTAAGAGTAAAGCCACTCATCCACCTGAACATCCTCATCTCTGCAACACTTAAACTTAATATTATGCTTCTCTTTTAATGGCTAACATTCTGCGCCATAAAGCATTGCAAGTCTAACCACCATCTTATAGAATTTTCCCTTAAATTTGAGTGGTACTTTTATATCACACAACAAGTCCGATGCATTCCTCTATTTCATCCATCCAACTTGAATTCTACTAATAATATCCCTATCTATTTCACCATCACTCTGAACAATAGACCCAATATATCTAAAATGTGTACTTATTAATGACTTGATCGTTCAAAGTCAAAAAACCCCACTAGATCTATTACTACTAAAATTACACTCCATGTATTCGGTTTTAGATCTACTCAAACGAAAACCTTTAGACTGTATGGTTGAACTCCATAATTCAAGTATACCTTCAACTCCCTCTTTAGTCTTATCAATAAGAAAAATATCGTCAGCAGAAAACATACACCAGGGGACATCCTCTTGCAAATCTCTAGTAATAACATCCATGACTAAAGCAAAAACATATGGTCTTAAGGCTGATCCTTGATGTAATCCAACTGAAATAGGAAAATACTTAGTCAAACCACATTGTGTTTGAACACAAGTAACAGCTCCAGCATACATATCCCTCTAATGATATAAGCATATTATTAATCCCTTTCTTTTTTAGAACTCTCCATAGCACTTCTCTTGGAACTTTATCATGTGCTTTCTCTAAATCAATAAATATCATATGAAGATCTTCCTTTTTCTCTCTATACTTCTCCATCAAACCTCTCAAAAAATGTATGGCTTACATAGTAGACCTACCTGGCATAAATCCAAATTGATTTTGAGAGGCTTCCATAGTATACCTACCCGACCTAAGTCATATGTTTCTAACAACCTAAAATTTGTAAAAAGACCCATTTTTAAAGCTTCAAATTCCATCTTCTCCAACTACAGAGGACCAAACTGATTAACAAAATTGTCTACATCAACAACCAGTGCAAAGATAAGTTTCAAGATGATAATCAAAAGACAATGCAAAAGGCTATCAGAGAGCACATACAATTAAGTTTAAGTAATTTTGGGAAAAAATTTAGGAAAAATTTGTCTAAATCCTAAAAAATATTAGCCCAACTCCTAGGAAAGGCAACCTAAAAAGAAGCAAACAAAGAACTTTAGATTGACTTGACATAGCTCTCTCCATTAAAACCCTAACAAAAACTTGCTTCCCCGCTTCCACCCACCCCCACCACCAAATGAAACAAAGAAAGAAATTAGGATTGGCTTGCTATAGCTCTCTCCACTAAAAACCTAAAAGCAACTTACTTCCCCCCTTCCACTCAACCCCTACAAAAAAGTGTTCTCAAACTTTCTTCCAAAAAGAAGAGGACAAAACCCTACACTTTCGGAAAGGAGGCAAGGCAATAAACAATCCAATTATTATATAATGCCAAAAACAAAGGGAAAAAAAGCTAAGCATTGTAAAAATAAAAATTAAAAAAATATAATAAATAAATAATAAAATAATAAAAAATAAAAAAAATTGTCTGCCTATTCATTATGCGTGATATTCAAAAAATGATGGGATCACGAACTTCATTTCCAAGGAGATAGGTGGTACTTGACCAACCATAAGATTAGAGAATGAACTATCAAAGGAAGAATGAATAATTAAAAACAAAAAACAAATTACTAAAAAGGGGGGAGACAAATACCTTCGGATAATTATAATAGACCCCTCATTATTTGGCAATGCCTCTAGGATTCTTCCATAATCATAAGACTTTTCTTTCTTGTTGTTATCACCAAAGAAGTACATGAGCATAGCACACATGGCAAGAGGAAACAAAGAGTTCCAACTAGCCACCTGATGGTTAATTTTCCACGCATAAAATTAAGAGGTTGTCCTCTTTTATCAACAAATCCTCTTAGAATGCAAGAACATGCAACAATTTACCTAATCTAAAGCTTCTCTTAGTATATAATAGACATTTATGTAATCTCCAACGGACAGCTCAAAAAAATACTACCACCAAAAATTTAGATTAATCATATCAGCCTATTTTAAACACATTAGACTCATCCCATTGGATTAAGACCAACAGCTAAAAAATTATAGATTGTAAATTTAAAGGCATCAAATTAATAAGTCCACATTAACAATTTCAAATTTAACAAAATCCAGTAAAAGTAATCAAGTTAACTAGCATACTTTGTTAGGCCTACAAACAAGTTCAACTTTGAACCAAAAACAACCAAAAATGTGAACCATTTAAAAGTCAAAAAAAGAAAATACACCAATCAATCATCAAATGACAACCAACCATAATAGATCCACGAATGTAAGGTCAAAACAAGCAAGCCCAAATCTTGACACATTTATAGACTCAACACACCACTATGCAACATATCTTTAAAAGAATTTGAACTAGAGTGATGGGTTTAAACATGATCTAAAACCATGATGATTGTTGCCTCTCTCCACCACTATCATGACTGCAAATGTTTCCATGAAGCTTGTCATCCCTATCACATCCTTACCAACATTGCCAACCACAGCACTCTACCCAACTTTGGCGCCATTTAGAACCCTCCTACTCCAGGATGATCAACATTCAACATTTCAACCACTTATCATGTCATAACTTTAGTTGATCTTTTGTTCACTATCTATATAACAGGCACCACACCCTTGATTCCACCATCGCCCTTCTCATTGAGAAGTCATCAATCCCCATGAGTGTCCCAACAACACTAGGCTACCATACAATCATTAAAATGAATGCCCACCCTCCCTCATTATCATCCCTGCAACCCAAACTTTAGGTTTAATCAACTAAAAAAAGGTATCCAAGGTTTTGTTAAAATTATAAAATTGCACCAAAATTTAAACTAAAAAAAAAATATAAAAAATTAGAAATGAGTCGATTTTAAATCGATAAAGTTTCTGAGCCAATTTTAACTTGACTTATTTACATTTTCTTCAAAGATGCGGACAACAAGAAAAGGTGAAGGACCCCCCTCTCTCTCTCTCTCTCTCTCTCTCTCTCTCTCTCTCTCTCTCTCTCTAAGCACCTAACAACAACCCATATTTTTCAATACAGCACCGATGAACATCCGCCAACCAACAAAACTAGCAATGATGGCACCAACCTGACCATTATTGAAAGTAACTAAACCATGACAAGGGAACCAAGTATCATAAAAATGTAGTAACCCTACGATCAAGTAGGGTCACTCAACATCAAATCAATCAAGGTCCTAAATCGATCATGCCTACATAGATCAATCAAAATATGTATGTAGTCAAATCCCCATGATTTGCCCACATTACTATTCAAACCTCCACAAATCTTGGGAGTACGTAAGAATACATCCAAAACTCCATTAATCTTAAAGATACATTAGTCGTTTGCATAAATCAAACATTCTAAAATAATAACATCAAGCAAACACAAACATTAGATCATCAGCTTGACGGTCAAAATGGTCAATAACTTCAATTTTTTTATTCAGGACACAAATGCAATGGAAATTTTGGAAGCTCAAATAATCATATATTTTGTTGCTCATGATATCCTTAACTAAGGTTTTACACAATAACTTAATTCAAACATTTCAATTTTCTCTAAATTCTAAAATAATAACATCAAGCAAACACAAACATTAGATCATCAGCTTGACGGTCAAAATGGCCAATAACTTCATTTTTTTGTATTCAGGACACAAATGCAATGGAAATTTTGGAAGCTCAAATAATCATATATCTTGTTGCTCATGATATCCTTAACTAAGGTTTTACACAATAACTTAGTTCAAACATTTCAATTTTCTCTAAATTCTATATTTTGGTTTCTTGCATGTTCAAGTTATTGAATTAAGGACCACGAGAATGACTCACCAATAGACAACTACCTACCCTGGTCGCAGAACTTACTACTATCGACTAATTGTAGAATTCTCAGCCAAACGAAGGCATTGTTGATCTATCAAAAATTGATTCTAAAGGGAAATTTTTAAGAAAATATATTTCCACCTCAACTTTCGCTATAAGAAGCGTCCAAACACACAACAAGCCATAAAATTTTCCAACCACGAGTTATTCGATCATTTCAACACCTAAGAAACTTAAGGACAATTACCACAACCATCATATTAACATTTTAACCTAAATCACTAGAAAACCTTCTAATGATTGAAGGTCTCCCTAATATTACAAACTAATAAAATATACTACTACAGTCAACATATGCAAAAATACAAGCGTACTATGCTCCTTCAATTTGAAAATATGAATAAGTAGCAATTAACAACAAAAAGCAGCAATCTTAAACTTTGAGCATTGAAAAACGCATTTTTCTGCATTGAAATTCTAAAAGAATCATCATTAGCCTTATCCCAACTTAGTTTGAATTTATGAATACTCCCTCATGCATTCCAATTGAGTGCTACTATTTTGCAACAAAAAAAAAAACATTTTGGCAGCCACGCCATCTCTAAAAATATACCAATATTGATAAATAATATTTGTAAAAGAAGCATTTGCTTTACTGCAATTTAAAAAAGACCATCGCCTTCTGCTCTATATTGCCGCCCTGATTAAACTAAAATAAATAAGTGTACATCTAATCATTCCACGTATTGGTTATAGTAATACTTTATGTTAGACAGCCATACAGTATCAACATCCTTCTTCTTCTTTTTTTTTTTAGATTTGTGCATGTTTACCTCAACTGCTGCAAATAAAAGTTAACAAAAAATTAAAATTTATGAATTAAAACGAAACAAAAAGAAAATAGTTGATATGAACAATCAAGCAGAAATTAACAGAAGCAGATCAGCTGAAAACAAGTAAGGACAAAACAGAAGAATTTAGACTTGCAAACCATACCAGCGCTGCATGATGTTGGAGGATCCTTCTGCAAGTCCTTCAACTCCTTCTGAATTCTCTTAGAAGCCATCAGCAAAAACCCGAAACCTCAAGCACCACCGTAATCACTGTCTATCACAAGCAAAGTAGTATCAGATAACAAAACACCATGTCCTCAAACTAAAAAGTTTAAAACGAAATCCAAAAAGAAAAACTCGTCTAATAATCAAGCAATCGAAACCCTAATCGTCGATCAATAAGATGATTACACCACCGGCAAGAAATTAAAAGGATTTCTTCGAAATTATCATCAATCATCGAAACCCTACGAATCAAAACAAGAAACCAAAACGCTACGACGACCATCCATCCAACGCGAAAACTAAAACGTCGATAATATACCTTCGAGAATAATTATAAAAAAAAAATCCAACCGGAGCAAGATTAGTTTACCCCCTCCGACTCGTTAGGGTTTCTTCCCTGCTAATCACTGACCTACCTCGGTTCGTTTATCGTGTCCCTTCGATACAGCGCCTTCGGATTAAATTTATAATCGCAGGTTTGAGAAAATTTATTTCAAAGGAAAGTATTTATGATGCTATATATATTAATTATATTGATATTACAATAATATGACATGATTTTTTAAACATAAATACAATATGACTTTAATATAAAAATTAAGTCAAACATGATAAGTTGACATAATATGCAATATTATATTTTAAAAAATAAAAAATGTATATGTAATATACTAATATGTCATCAAAATTTGAACTTCCAAAATAAATTCATGACCGCATAAAATTTTAACAAATTTAGAGACAAATTGAACGTAATGACAATACAAACTCATCTAGAGTAAGAATGATCTGATACAAATCTAAATGTGTACAAATCAAATATTTGAAATATAATTATAATTTTTGGGATCTATATGGGAGGATTAAACATTATTCAAATCTCGCATGTTTATAATCAAATCTCGCAAAACAAATCCAATAAACCTAAGATCCTCTGAACACCTACTTCCAACTATGGTCCTCACACCAATATCCCCCAACAATGGCCCTTATGACACTATCATTCAACTACAGTCCTTGGAGGCTTAGACCATTGTCACCTAACTTAACCTATGTATGTTGACTTCATCACATACTACCACCAATAATAAACATACCTCATCGCCCGTAAGGTTGATCGCAACATCGACACCAACTCAGACTCCTAAGGCCAACACAAAGATTTATGTTGAACTTTTTAGGTCTCGGATGTCCTCTCCTCAAAGGACAACGACCAAATAAACAATAAATGATATATTGAATATAACTCACATGCAACATAGTATTTAAAACTTCTACTATGCAAAATCCATTTATGTTTGCATCAACACATCTTTAATCATGGTAAATGACATCATTTTCCACTTATGATAAATACAAGTGAAATCAGTTTAATTAGATCATACATAGTGATTTTTTTTTTCTTTTTATGGGTTTTTCATGTAAAAAATTATAGTATATCTGGCGGAGTCTTGTGTGCTAGATCTTCATAAAATGCTGTTATTACATTTTCTCTTTATGTTGAAGTGTGTATTGTGGCATACAATAATATGATATTACATACTACAAATAAATTTAAAATAAATTATTCTAATAATAAAATTGCTCATAAAAGAAGTAACATATTTAAATTTATTGAATGTAGTAGATTCAATTAAAGATAAATAGTCACATTATATTATAAATTATTATAACTTATTGGCATTAAGTTAATAAAATTGCTTATTTTATTTAAAAGGATAGCCATTATAAAATATCAATGAAAAATAGAATGAATAAGAAAAAATATAGTATTAAATGATCTTATTAAAATATTTTAAAATAAAATATAATATATAGCTTAACTTCTATTATTTATGGTATATGCTTTTAAAATTAAATGCATCATAAGGGCGTTTTTTTAATTAGACACATAATTAGGATATTTCACACCTATCGATTTGTCTATGGCAAGAACATTTGTAGTTGTTGTGGGTCAGAATATTCGTGGAGGTAAAGTAAATGAATTTTTCATTTTAGCGATGCATGAATATCCAATGCACAAACATGTAGTTGAAGAGAGAGCAAAAAACATCATAATTTTTTTATGTGAAAAACTCAAAGAGGAAAAAATCACATGGCCTCAGGCCTCAGCTAAGTAAAAATATTCCACTAAATTTGAGTGAATTGTAGTGGTTGACCCGTCCCTTGACTTAGAGGCGTTGGAATTACAATAGTTTGAAGAGCTGGGTGAAAGTCTGACGGGTGAGCGGTGATTTGACTGGATTTGGTGATCGGGGGCGGTGGTTCGATGATGGTCGGGTGGGAGTCTGGCTGAGATTGGCAGTCGGGCCGAAGTTTGGCAGACATGCGGTGATTTGACAATAGTTGGCAACGGACGGTTGTACAATAATGGTTGGGCGAATGTCCAGCATTCGTTGACGTGTAAGTGGAATTCTAGCAGCCTGGCGGTGGACCGATGATGGTCGGGCGAAAGTTCAGCAGTAGTCGGAGGCCGGGCGGTGGTTAAACGATGGTCACGCAGAAGACCGACGGTGGTCGATAGTCAGATGAAATTATGATAGGAAATATTTTATTTTGTTACCTTATGAGTGACCGCATCTTATAAATATTTTAAAATTATAATTTTACAACGTTAATATTTTTAAAGATTAAATAAACATTTTTGAATGGCATAGACTTTTTCATCCAAAAAAAGGAGTCACTTTGTATGTCATAAAAAAAATATTTTTTTATCAATTATCAATCTCAATGCATATTTTTATTGAAATCTTTTAAATTCCAATTTAAGGGTCATCCAAACTCCCATGCAACAAACTTTAGTCAAACTGAATGTTTAGGCAATACGGGCCAAATGAGACAAATTTGTGCACTTCAAATGTAGTTAGAAACTTTGAGATACCAATTGGATTGCCAAATAATTTCAAAATATCATATATTTATAGTTGAATTGAGCATCTCGACGACATAAATCTACTGAATATAATATCACTTAATTTTAATATTATCAAGGTATATAAAAACTAAAAAAATGGTATACCATTGAGGGAATAAATTCAACTATTTGATGAAGTTTTTGAATAGTGAATATATTTATGAAGAGTTCCACTATAGCAAATTATAAATTGATATCCACTCTTTGCATAAATCAAGGCCTTGGATATGAGATTAGAGAGAAATCAAAGGTTTAAGGAATCACACATCTTCGCTAAGCCTTTGTCGACATACTATAATCCAGTGCTATTAAATTATGGTTTCTTCACTACCATCGATTGAGTGCAATCATCAAACCTCTAGTGCCTGATTAGGTCCTTTGGCCACCATTGCTTTACTAAAATAGTTCAATCCTCGTTGATAAATTTCGATCATCTGGCCACTCTTGATTATTGTCTCATAACCAGCATAATCCAACGACACAAATGCCCACTAAATTCATCGCTCGTTGTCACCAATGATGTCAATGTATGTTATCTTCTATTAGGTTGATGCACATCGCCCATACCAATGCCAATAGTTGCTAATTTATTCACACATACTTGATAACAACATGGATGTACACGATCGCTTTAAGGTTGATGCACATTGTCGTTATAAATAAAAATGCTTGTCGACTTCATCTCCATTAATATTGTTACCTGTCATTTTCTATAAGGTTGAAGCACACCATTGATACTAGCATTATCCCTCTATATCAACACCAAGTTTACATATTCTATGTTCTTCTATAATTTTTTTGTGAGTATATAAGCAACTTTAAAAGTTGTCATAATATAACAAATGCTTTAAAATGTTTTATATATGCTTCCCATGAACGTTTTTTCTAAGTTGTTATTGTTGAGTATATATGCAAATTATATCTCGTGCACTATTGATATCATGTCATAACTCTATCCGATATTACACATGTAATACTATGTTTGATTGTGACAAGACTGACCCCAAGATATTTTCGAAGAAGTACTAAGATAACACTTTCAATACACTACACAGAGCCACAATTGAATTGCAATATAAAGTGGAAGACTACTGAATCACAACATGATTTTCTATATATCATCCAAAACACATATAATCTAAAATCTATTTACAACAACGCTTGACAGCAGAGAGCACAAGAAAAATAAAAGCCAAGCTTGCAAACAATTAAAATAACTAAAACGTACCTACAAAACAGATCAGAGTGTGCTATCCAAACTACTTAGCTCGCATCTTACCCTTCATCCAGCTTGAAAATAAAAGAAAAAAAGGGATGAACTAACACGGCTCAATAAGTTATCGTAGCGACGTAGCCTAAAACATAAATAAAAAATCAAAACTAAAAGAACTGAAAACTGATCTGAATCATATAATGAAATGAAACATCACATCACAACACTTCACAACATATTTTTCAAACCATTTCATTAACTAAAGCATAATTAAGCTCAATTCGAAAATTACCAAAGTGCCACAACGATATACAACAAAAATACTGCTGACAAAAAATTCATATTTTTTAAACATAACCAAATTATCAAAAATTGTGTAAAACATCATTATAAGACTTTAATTGAACTGAAATACTATTTTTAGATGTTAAAATAAATTTTTGAGTAGGCAAAAATCTTTTTTTTTTTTCTAAATCACCTAACAAAAAATTTTCAGAATATACTCAAGATGTCGTAATCACAATTTCAATAACATATAAAAAGTTACGTAGTTAAAGTTTTACCAAAACAAAGTTATCCTCATCTTTTGATAAAAAAAATTACAAATTTGATTAAAAAATACCAAAAAACATTAAATTATTAAAATCTAAAATAGACAAACTGTAACCTACATAATGATAAGCAAATTTTCCAACTAGGTCGATGCACAAAAAATGTTATATGACCGCCAAACCCTAGTTTATTTATTTCTCTATCTTCTATTTCTTCTCAAATTTAAAAATAACTTTTTTGTTAAGCCCCAAATGGGATTAATGGCTTAAGATGTATTGTGCTTTTAGATATTTTTATAAAATAATAATATAATAATATTATGATAATAAATTTGTAATATAAAATAAAAAAATTAGAGATTTCAAAAATTATAAAAAAACATCCATGAAATAACTTATTTTATTTTGAAAATTCATGTAAAATAGGTTTGCAAAACAAACACATGACGGTCCGAAAACCCCCACTTGTACTAATAGGTGTCAATTTCTTAAGGAATTTCATTAATGCTAAAAAATAATGAAAAAACTAGGAAAAATAAAGCACAATAATAGAGATGTTATAGATAATAAGTTTTATGATTTGGGCTTATAACAACTCATGAATAAATTCTTAATCATTGTAGGTAAAAATGTTGTTCTTAATCATTTATATATTTCTTCATCTTCTTGTATATTGTGCATACATGTGTGCAATATAGTATTCCTTTGTTCATGTGGAAAAAATGTTGATGAGAAATGAAGTATTGTTTATGGTGGTTGTATTTTGTTTTGTGCATTGTAAGTAGAGATATAAGAGCCTATGCACATATACATATAAATCTAAAGTGTTGTATGTGAGGAATGTATTTAGTTTTGGTGCATATGTATTCTTCTTTTTGTTTAGAATAGATATGAGATGACCAAGCGAGATATAAGCGGTAGTTGAGTTATAAGAAGGTTTTAGGACAAGTTTTGTTGTATATATTCACATGACTCATCTAATACATGTTTTATTTAAGTTAAGTTTTATTCTAATGCTAGTAAAGTAATGTTTTGTTGTGGTACAATTGAAACCATGTTATGTTATGTATAGTGAAGTATTGTAGTTCATATGTTACTTAAGTCACATATAGATGTTTATTTATATTCCCTCTAGTTGTATATTTCATTATTAACTAGTCGTGCATAGTATAATCAAATGTTGAATTTTGAATATTTCATTAGGATGTGTGGTTTACTATGTATGTGTATGCTTACTCTATCTTTTTTTATACTTTATTTTAGGAAAGGGTAAGGTCTCAGCATAACAGGATAGTGTTGATAAGGACCAATCTATAAGACCTGGTATTTCATGGGGTATTTTTTTGATGATTTAGTTAAAATTCATATGTGGTTGGAACTTGCACTAGATTTTGCGTCAATAATTATTTTGGGAAATGAAAATGTTCAAGTTTGTTGTTCGCATCAAACATTTTTAGTGACTCTGGTTATATTTAATTGATGAGATGAAATATAAATTGGTTCAATTCCATCCATTAGGTTATGGGGCGTCACAGAGATTGGGTAGACTATGGAGCACGTATAATATTTTTTTTCCCAAACACATGAGAGTGCTCACATAATACTTGTAGTGTATTCGGTGGAGCCCTCATTGAGCTTTTTATTTCTCCTTTCGTACAACCAACGGGAAAAAACTTTCCCAACGAATAAGGTTCCTTATGCGGAGTTCCTATGAATTAGTCCTTTTGGCTAAGGTGAGAGCTTTCCTAAGTTCTATGGTGTGTTGTGTGGGCCTACAAACTATGCTTAACATATGAATCATAAGCTATGAACCTCTCTAAGATTCATGGAAATACATCCATGAGGGGTTTTTTTTTTTATAAGTTATAATGTGGTATTATATCATTTGTTCTATAAAATAGACTTGTTCCTTGCAAATATCTTCCAGATTCAATGATTTTGTCTTCATTTTGTTGTGAGATCTTTAATTTTATTTTGTTTGATTTTATAAGTTTTATTATTTGTTTCTTTGCATTTATAAGATTGATTATGTAAGTTTTATTTATTGATTTCTAAATAGATATATAATCAGATTAATCTTAAGGCATATTTGAGTTCAAATATTATGGAGAGATATTTCAAACGATCTTCAATTCCAAAAACATCAAATGACAATAGCAATAAAATTGAAGATCATAATGAAAAGCGTATTCGAGTGGATGTTGATTTACCCAACAACATAGAAGTAAATGTTGAAAATCTTCCATCTGATCTAGGACTACGAATTCCCATTATTGACTTTAATCCTAATATTTGGGATGAAGTCTGGAGAATATATTTACAACGAGGGTCATTTTAACCTCGCAGTCATGATTTTTCAAAAACTAAATTTGGGATGAAAGACAAACTATTTAATCCTACTTGGTTTGACAAGTACTTTGATTGGCTAGAGCATAGCATAAGCAAAGACAAATCATACCGTCTTTATTGTTATTTGTTCATAAAATCAAGTAGAGGCAATGAAGAGGAAAAAGAATTTTAATAAAAATGGATTTTCAAATTGGAAAAAAAACAAACAAATTTGATCTTCATGTAGGAGGTCATAACAGTGCGCATAATAATGCTAGACGTAGTTCTGAAGACCTATTGAAATAGAGTCAACATATTGGGTTTGTGTTCCAAAAGCAAACATATAAAGCTACATATGCATACCGTATCCGCCTCAATACTTCTGTTGATTGCATAAGATTTCTTTTATGGTAAAGGCTAGCTTTCTGAGGATATGATGAGTCTTCTACATCCAAAAATCATGATAATTTACTTGAATTTATGCAATTTTTGACTGAACATAACAAAGACATAGACAATGTGGTTTTAAAGAATGCTCCTAAGAATTTAAAGTTAATTGCACATGATATTCAAAAAGATATTACTAGAGCATTCACTATTACTATTACAAACTTTATATATGAGGAGATTGATGATAAATTTTACTCAGTTTTAGTTGATGAATCACGTGACACATGCGCTAAAGAGCAAATGACAATCATAGTCAGATATTGGAAGTCTTGCTGAGAAAATGATCCACAGCATGAAGGATATATATAATATATCATGTTGTTTTTAAACAACTAGAATTGGCATTGGTATTACCCGTTGGTACAGTAGGCGTTGAAAGAGCATTTTATGTCATTAATATTATAAACAATCGACAGCAAAATAGGATTGTCGATCAATGAATGAATGATTTATTAATTGCTTATGTTGATAAATAAATTTTGTATTCTATTGATAATGAAGTAATCATTCAACTCTTTCAGAATATGAAGAGTAGATGTTATAAATTGTAAGTTGTTTACTGTCTTATATTTTGATATTATATGTTTTTAGATAATTATTAATAATTTTTTTTAAACTGCCTATGCCGGTCCCAAGCCTGGATGAAAAATGTTGAGGAAAAATTTTACTAAAATAATTTAGGCCCCCCTTGATAAATTTTATGGCTCCGCCACTGACTATATGAACATATGAATTATAAGGTCCATAAATTATAAATATCGAATTTGAATATTGCATATTAGTTCAAAAGACTTTTTGTCGAATTGCCATCCTTCCTAAATGCAAAAGCCCAAGAGCAAACTTGTTGTGTCAATTAAGCAAGCTTGACAAGCATATATGACGGCTCAACAAGCTAAAGAACCTAAGCACCCCTTTATCAATTCAATCAATAGCTTAAAAGGCTCTATCAACATCATCTATTCACAAGCAAACAAACCGAACTATCATAGCCAAGTCGTCATAAACTATGTGATAATTTAACCAATCTAAAACAAGAATTGAAGCCATATATATTGAACTAGGGGTGTCAATTTGGGTCAACGGGTAGGGTTCGGGTCGAATCTGGAACTTAATCGACACTATTCGGGTCAACCCGAACCCGACCCATTTTTAAAAACGGGTTAGGTTTCCGGACCCAAACCCAGCCCGATTCGGGTTCAGGTCAATCGACCGGACACGAATGACCCGAAGTTGACCTAAAATTATTATTTTTGGGTCAAAAATTGGGTCAATCTTCGATTTTCATGTCAAAATCGGGTTAAAAACGGGTCAATCTGGAGTTTCCGAGTCAAATAGGAGTTTTCGTGTCAATTTTGGATCATTTTCAGGTTATTTTCGGGTTGCTAGTTTAACCCGAACCCGTCAAGTTTTGAATTAGGAATGATCATAACACGAAACTTTTCAGATGGGATTCATATCGTGATGTCAATTTTTCCAAAAATTGACACCCAGATTATTTCATAAAATAATCCTTACCCAATTTGGTCCTAATTGAACACTAATTCATATTGTTCGCGCTTACCTTTCTTCCTCGCTCGTGAGCGCACAGCTGCAACCCTTATTCCCTGAATCCCTTCGCACGCGCTCTACAATCCAGCAAACCGCAGCCGCGCCTCCCCTTATTCTTCCAGCGCCGGCAACTCCTATTCTCTTCCACGCGCGCGTCTCGGTCTCCCATTTCCCGATCACAGACCATCGGTTCCATCCCAGAACCCTGCGCCGGACGCCCTCGACCACACAGGCCAAGTCTAGCGACTTCTACCCAACCTCAAGTTCTACTTCCTTCATTTCGGCGACCTTTTTCGACTGCTTCGAGAGTCCAGCAAGCCTGAGCCAGAAGGAACATTGCCTTGCCGCCAAGAATCCGGCGACTTCTTCGGACGAGTACAGGTATAATTCAGTTTTCTATCTCATAGTAATTCACCCGCTTGAAAATACACAAGAATAACTGAAGATTTGTTGATATTTGGTAATTGATATGTTTGAATTGAAGACGCTCAGCTGTTGATAGTTGGTTCGGATAATAGAAGTGAATGTTTTCCCTGTAATAAGTGTGCGTGAATAAGATTATGCCGAGGAATGGCTAAAGAGCTGTTGATATTTGGTATGGTTAAATTGTAGACATTTTGCTATTGATCTTTGGTGTGGCACAAAGTCCTCCTCTATTCGTTGGTCTTTGGTCCAAATAATGAGAGTAATTTCTTGGCCGCTAGTGAATTTGCATGATCAAAATAATGCATATGTACTGCTGTAGAGCATTAGATCTTTGATCGAGTCCTCACATCATTGATCTTTGGTTCAACCATGTTTAGAAGATCACACCTCTGCCTTTGATATTTGGTTCAACTTGAGGTTACTTGTTCTTTTGTTGATCTTTGGTTCACATACACTGAGTGGTTGCTTTTTTTGCCAGCATTTATGTATGATAAAAAGTTTGGCAATGATTCTGGACTGTTCTTATATTTTGAATGAATGTCACAGCGGTTCCTTGAGTGAGTTTAGCTTGTTTGTGCAGCTGATATATCCAGCTACCCATTGCTGGGGAGTTGTATGTTATTATCGTTCTAGTTACCATTGATACAATAATGTTAAAAAGAAAATAAATCAGAACAAATAATCGTAAAAAGCTTGCAAGAATGCATGTGATCATTGAAGAGACATTGATATTTTGTTCGACTAAGTTGTAGATCTCATATTTGATCTGGTTTTGAAGGCCTCCTCTTTTCAGTTGATATTTGATCTAGCATGAAGTCTCTCTTCCCTTTGTTAAGATTTGGTATAATTACAAGTAATTTTCTCACGTGTTGGCAGTTGCAGATGCGATTTCTGAGTGACCTTGATGTCATTTGCATGCTTATGGCTTCATTCTGATCATCGATAATAAATCAAGCTTCATCAACATTGCATAATTCCTCTGACAATATGAAAAATGTAGATGATCCCAAAACAAGACCTACAAATTAAATTATTAGGAGCAATTTTAATGACCACAATAAAACATGAAAACCAAACTTGCATCTAAATTTTAAACAAAGAAGAAGATGAAATTTAACTTGTGTGTGATGAATGTCAATGAATACATTTGAATGCAATAAATACTCATTTGATACTCGTTGACGTGCAGTGTTTTGCTGTTTAAAATTTGACTAAGTAAATTTGTCAAAATGGTATTCAAATTTAAATAGGGCATTCAATTTAAATGCTTAAAGAAATAAATTCTTGTAAGTATCTATAACTAATATCATTATTGGATTGCCATGTTTATAAGGCAAGGTTATAAGACCCACCGTTGATCCGATTCCAATAGCTGAGCAGTAAGCCTCACATATAGGTGCCAAATACTAGGATGGTAAAACCCAACCCAATTAATAGGGCTGACTTGAAACCAACAAAGCCCTAAATTGTTAAAGATACCTATGTGGATGCAACCTGTGGTTCCTAATTAGAGTTGCTAGACATTACAGTTTATTGCCTTTTGACATTGATACACTTGGTCCACTTGTATACTCGGCTTGATAAAATTATGTGATATTAGTTATCTCTATCTCCATTTCCCTAATCATTCCTTGTGAATTAAATTAAAACCTAAACATTAAATGTAAACGTAAAATTCATGACTAAGCAATCTCCTTGATTGAGAGTGTTCTTTTATGAGAGAGGGACAATTAACCATAAGGGGTGCAAGACTCATGCCTAAATAAAGACGTGTCTAACATCATTGAAAATATGATTAAAACAAACATAACCTACCTCAAGGAAAACTACTCAATAGTTCTTTTACTTACATCGAGGAGGTGTATAGAGAAGCAATTCTCTTTACTGGGCTTTCATTACATTCATGGTGCTAGTACCCACGTTATGATTGTTTTCCTTTTCATCACTCTAGTGATGTTATATATTTGGAAAAGATTATCGATATTGAAATATCATCTTGATACATAAGGCTTAAGCAATGCTATTATGATGGATGCAATAGCTAATCACCTTAAAAAATATTATCATATGCTATACATCAATTCATGTTCATGCTATTGAAGGTTATGAAGATTTTTATGATGAGTTCACGATTCATAATTTTAATGTCAATGTCATGACAAATGCCACTCTACATTCTTTGCTTTTGTTATCAATGCGGATCATTGTTATGACTTAATACTAAACATGATTTCATAAGCTATGCTAATTGTTATAATCATATGCTAGAAAAATTCTATGCCATATGATATTCCCAATGCCATGCCAAGTGCTTATGATTATGACATTCACATGCTATGCCACTTGATATGATTATGAAATATCAATGGTTATGTGGCGTGTGCCCTTGAACTAGTGATTGATTTGATTGCAATGACACAATTATATTACAATTACGGCCCCAAACCCATATGTTCCTCAATTGCTAAGTTTTCCTTGGGCACTGCTTCTCGTGATTATTGACAAAGATCCTTCAATCAAGTGGGCTCGACCATCTTTGCTAACTAAATAGACTAAGATTCATGACAATCTAGGATGGCAGAACTATAATTTGATTTAGTTGTTATCATTCCCTTTCCATGCACTAATAGTGGTATATTATTTGACTTTGTCTAAATTGTCGCTTTTAAAACAAAGCATTGTAGAGCCTTTAAGCTATCATTAATCCAAGTATCTCTTACGATTGAGAGGGATAATTAATTGTAGGAGCTTGCATTTATCAGAAATCTTAAATCATATTATAAAGTTATATATGTGTGAAATTTTTAGGTTGTGTGTTATCTGATATCCAATATTACTTTTGAATAGTCAACCTGAATCACTCAAATGTGATAGATATGGGTGAGGATTTTTAGAGCACACACTTTCACATCATCATTGATTGTAACATCACCTTGACACCACCATTTTCTCTCTCCTACCAGGCATGGCTGGCCCATCCCCTTTTCCTTCTCTCTTAATTAATTCTCTAACCCATGAATAGGCCTTGAACACACATTCTTAAGTTTCCTACCCTTGGATATGCTAGAAGACTTTTGAAACATTCATAAATCCCATGGCCATTCCTCATCTTTGGGTGTTTCCTAATCTCTCCTTGGAGCCGCTTGAGTTCTCTTCTCACTTTTATATAAAATCTTTTACTTCCCATGTTTTTTATCTTGATTTATCTATGAATAAAATATTACTTTCTTTGAGTGCAAATGACTTGTGCTTTCTTAGTGGTCTTCCCTCTCTCAAATAAAAGGCCCGTTTAGTGTCAATGCACAATCCTTCATAGGACTTCCAAGCAAGGAAGAAGATCAACATGATGAAGAATTGTTTGTGGAGGTCGAATTCAAGTTATCCTCCATTCCACCTTTGTTATTGTTAACTTCTCTACGAATAGTCCCATGCTTATTATGTTTTCTCTTTACAATTATAAGATTAGGAAGAATTATTTAGGTTAACAACTACTATTGCTAAGTATGCAAACTCAACTTCATTTTTATCCAAATTAACACCAGTAATTATCTAGATTAAGCACTTTTATAACTTATTGTTGTGTGTCTTTGTTGAATCATCAGTGAAGTTATTTTGTCTCCATAAGACATCCTAGTTCATTTAGCCCTTGCATTATTGTTTTGCATTTGTGCCACATGATTGGGTTTTGAGTCGAGTTGTGATTTTTTATTTTGAATGCCATTATAGATTTTGTTTGGTGTTTTGGTCTCTTCATATTTTCTGCTGAACCTTGTTTGACATGTTTTTTACTGTGGTTGGTGTCCCAATTTTCCTTTGGATGCCCTAGATTCTTGCCCGATGTTTTACTGGATTCTGACAACTGTTGCAGTTGGTCGTTTTTTTGTGATGTAGGATGCAATTTAGCCATTCACCACTTAGTCTCTCCAATCAAAGTTATATCCATTTGGCTCCTGGGTTGGGCTTGTTTCGCTTGTGTAATTTGTTTTTACTGCTGCTGTTCCATCTATCTAGTGTGATTTGATTAGGTTTTTCTTAGTTTAGTATTATTCTCAATGGAACTACATGATTTAGTTCTAAGTTTTTGGCTGTTTTGTGACTGATTGGCTTTACTGGTTTATGACCTATGGCTAAACGTATGCTTTTTTTTATCCAGCTATTGTTAGGGCCAATTTTTATTATCTTTTTATTCTTTTGAGTTTCTTCAATGATACATATTGGGCAAATGTTTGCGACTTTTAGGATACGTGTATTTTTTTTCTTTAGCTTCTAAATTGTAGCAGCATCGACAAGTGCTTGAGCTACAACAAGTTTGATTCCCAAGAGGCAGAACATTAGACATAAGCCTGTGATCATAATATAAACCCTCTCTCCTTTTCTTATATTCAAAGTTGACCAATTATTGAAAAAAAGAGGAAAAGAAAAAAAAATTTATAATATCACATGTATTACATAAAAATTTTAAGGATTGACTAAAGAAAAATTAAGATTGATTTAATTATAATTACTTTTTAATATTTCATAAAGTATACTTAATCCTTAACAACACACTGACATTAGCTTTATTCATTCAACTTGGTTTTCTCGATATCAACATTGCACTGTCTATGAAACATACCAAAAAAAGTATAATCTTCAAAATAATCACATAACATATGAACTATTGATTTATAATTATTTAGATCGCACACACTAGGCATTGCCATCACCACTAACACCAATGTCCTCTTCAATATTACATTCAGCATCATTGAGAAAATATACATTTTGCACACTATTCATTATCATGTAAAATAATAATATGAATGATGCATCTAGGTATTAATGATCATAAATATCAAATAGATTGACATCAGTGAATATGGAAGTAAGAGAATAGTAAGAGAAATGATCATAAAAAGATGGTCAAAGAAGCTAGAGAGATGTTTATCATATGATAGCCGGGAGCACGACACAACAAATAAGAGGAGAATTCATAGCGTGCAAGGGGTAGAATCCCAAAATATGTGGCATATCGTTGAGAACGGAGAAAGATAATATTTATGACCCCATGATTGATAGAGGCAGCGGAGGAACATGTCTTGCGTGGAGTTGAGAATCATGGTAGCATAAAGAGGAAGGGGAAGGGGTGGGGTTCGATTTCAATACAATGGTTAAAAGACAAAGAAGGAGAATAATGCCATATATGAGATTCACTAAATTATTTTAAAATACCTAAAAGCAATACAATTTGAATTTAGGAGTTGTGATTTTAAATTGGCCAAAAGAACGTTTTGGGTGGATTTACCCACATAAATCCTTAGAGAACATATCAAAGTGCACTTGAAGATGAACTTGGACTCATTCTTTGGGGTTTGCTTGCCAATCAATCACAAGAAACTTGCTTGAACCAACTGACAAATAGTGCATGAAACAATTTTTTGCATATAATAAATACCAGAACATAATTTTTAATTACCAGAAAATATGCTAGTATAAATTACTTTTAAATTTCATTTTTAAAATCAAATGACAATTCTTTTAACAAAGTTTTGAAACAAAGTGCAATGATGGGTCATCTTAAATTCATTTACTTTAACAGTTTTTATCAATCATTGCAAATATCTCTCCACCAAGGTAGCTGTGAACTTAATACATGTTATCCTTGCATGATTTGAATCATTTTTGAGGTTCTTTTTGAATCCCTCCAAAGAACCATAATTATTTTGGGGGATTTAAATGCATACCACTAAATTCTTATATATTTACATGTCTAATACTTAAACTTTAATAATTATTTATGACACCAAAATCTTTAAATCACATAAAAAATGCTATTAATATGAACTTTTCTATAGTGAAATAACTTTTTCATGCACATTTTTTGATGCAATTTAGATGCTAAAATGTTATTTTAGTTAATATCAAAGTTTAAGTGTTAGATATGTAAATACATAAAAATTGTATGGTATGAAAGTAAATCCCCTAATATTTTGATAACAGGTTAACTGCAAGGAGGTAATCATACCTAATGTTCTGTACTCTCTGAAATAACATCAAACCAGGCAATGGCTATCTAGATAAACTTTTTTGCAAGTTTATCTGATTGGCAATAATATGCGAAGATCTTCTCCTAATTTTTTTTATTGTAGCTTGAGATTTCACTGTTTTCAATTTATGTATGTGAACTTTTGATCATTGAACTAATATGAAGTCACTTCTTTTGTGGCTCTCCTTTTTTTATTCTCTTTCTTCTTTTCCTTTTGATTTGATCCAAGGTTTATAGATGCTTTTTTGAGCTGTGCACCGTTAAGATTCTTCTGTACATCTCCGTTCATCTCTACTCTTTGAATCGTTTCCTCCATCAGATAATGTTTGTAATATCCCTGGATCTTTTTGGTTTTGGCTATTGCTACCTGATCCCATTCTATTAGTGAAGCGGATTTTTCTTTTGCTTGTTAAAATGTAGGCTGTTATATATATATCATGGTTAAAAACGACGTTTGAGGCTTACGTCTCGGGTGCGCCTTGATACGAGGCCCAACTTGGACGCCTTGAGGCTTAAGCCTAAGTGGTTTGAACGAGGCTTATGATTTTCTTCATTGAGGCGTAACTCTTAGAGGCAATTTGAGGCACTGCCTCAATCAATTTTATTTTATTTTTTTAGTTCGGAAGAGTCGAGAGTGCTTATTAGATTTAGGGTTTCGTCGGTTCGAAACATTTGTTCCAATATTCGCCCCCCTCCTTCAGCTGGCAACAAGGGAAACACTCTCTTGGCTTGGTGTGCACTGCTTAAGCCTCATATGCTTCGGCCTCGCTTCGTGTCAAGATGAGTTCTTTGTGACAATGTAATGATCCATCTACCCTTTCGAGCTCGTGTAGGCTTCGACAACTTCGGGAGAAGCAATTATGAAATTTAAGACGTGCATTTCTTACACAAGAGATTTATGTTGAAGTTAGATCAGCTTAATTTATATTTGTTAAAGTTTAACAATTTCATCTTACTCTATTGTTTTTTCTAGTTTAGGTTAAGCCCGAAGTAATTAGTTAGTCACCACAGATAATTCGTTTTCATAGTTTTTAAGCACCGAGGTATAAATTGTATTTTCCATAGTTTTCTTCTTTAAAAATACACAATTTTTAGCTGTGAGGGCTCTTTAATTGCAATGAAACATTTTTGAATGAATTTCACCATGAATAGATATTTTTCATTTGAATCGTATTTGATATAGCTTTCACTTTTTTTAAATTTATATGATTGAATTGCCTCCATATATCTTTTTTTTTTTAAATATATATGATTGAATTGTATGGAGGCATTACTTGCTGGGCTAAAATTGGGTTGATGGAGAAAAGAGTGATTTTTGTGAGTGTTTATTTTGAATCTTGTGTTCCAGTAACATTTATCTTCAAACAAGCCATTAAAGTCATTATGTTCATAATTTACTTAATATTTTGCCATTTTATAAGTCATTATAATTTTTTTAATACTTCAATTTTTCTGTTTTGAGGCTTATGCCTTGCCTCGCTATGATATAATGTCTTGATTCTCGATATCGCCTTTTTAAACCTTGATATATATATATATATACATTCTGGCTTTTCTCAGCAGGGAATTTGTTATTATCAATATGGCTGGTTATTGGAGTGCCAAAAGTTCAATTAAATTCCTCGTGGAAACAAATATTCTTGGGAACATTAGACAAGGTTATGCTACATGGGCGTGTAGGGGAAATAGACTGGTTCGAGAGAGAGATTTTCCCATTCCTTTTTCTTTGAACTCATCCACTATTAGATGGTATTCTTTAGAAGTTTCTGCTTCAGAGCAGTTGAATCTTATTAAACAGCTGAGGGAGAGGACAAGCGCTCCAATTAAACATGTGAAATCTGCTCTTGTTGATTGCAAATGGGATATTGGTAGGTGTTTATTTAATAGTTGTCATTTTTAGCATGAAAGTTTACTACGTTTGATTTTTACTCGATTATGGTTTAATCCAGATGCTGCACAAAAGGACCTACGAAAAAAAGGAGTGGTTCTCGCTTCAAAAAAATCATCTAGGACTGCAGCTGAGGGTTTGCTTGCAGCGGCACATTCTGATAATAGAGCTGTCATTATCGAGCTTAATTGTGAGACAGACTTCGTTGCTAGGAATGATGTATTTCAACATTTGGTTGGTTTCCCTTCCATTCTGTTCAATGATTTTTATTTATTTATTTTTGTTCATATTCAAATTCCTTATACTGTCTGATTTTTCTAAACTTCCTTGATTATACTCCTTTCTGCATTAAGAAATGTTTGGATTAGCATTTTTTTAAGCTTTTCGTTATGGTAAATATAATATTTTACCAAGGTTTACTAGAGAATTTTTTTTTTCAAAATCCCATTTTCCTTTTTAAGAATGCATGATTGGGAAAATATGTTCTTCTCATGTTGGCGTTTCGATTTAACTATTAGTGCTTATGACCCTTTTTACCTCAATCAGTCAAATAGCATATGAATGATATGGTTAACTCAAAAAAACTGTTTTTGTCGCTTTTGGTCATTTAATATCAATAGATTGATAGTTTTCTCAATGGAATGTTTTTTTGTTTACTTATAGTTTTCTTTTGAATTTTGTTTCCCATGTATAGAATGGAGTGCTAGTTTGTGTTCTTTTGTATAGTTTTTTTTGCTTTTCAAGATGATGATTATAAATAAGCTGATGAATGAAGGGAAATTTTTTTAATTATTATTCTCATGTTCTTTCGTAATGAAACATGGTGCCATGTTAGCAAGATGCATCATTGGAGGAGATAGGTTGTCGACTCAATAGCATGCAGCTTATAAGAGGTTCAAATATTTTCATCTGGTCATTTTAGAGAAATCCCATTCTAAATTTTTGTAACAGTTATTTCAGCAATGGATGGTCCAAATAATTAGCGGGTGGGGTTTCTGAATGAATGTCCTCTTACGAAGCGTTGGCTACATGCTTTGCATAAATCTTATTTGTTTTTTAGCGCTTCCTGGGATCCAGTTCCTTATGTTAAAACATTTTAAATTTTTATAATTGCGTTCATATTTTGCAGGCTTTGGCTGTGGCTAGAACTGCTTTATCACGTGCTGGTCCTGTACAAGAGGTTCAAGAGGCCTTTCATTTTGGTTCTGAATACATGCAGGTGCACCATAAATGTCTATGCTTCAATTATGATTTAAGGTTGCCTGAAACAATGCCCTCAATGCAACATAATAACATGCTTTCTTTTTATTCTGTAGTGTATTTTGAGGCTTATCTTTGAGACTATTTGATTTGTTTGTCTATTATTATTATTGCTCAAACATGGTCAGTGATTTCTGTTGTAAATGCTAATTTGTTTTCTGTGCTTCGTGAGCTGCAGAGAATTTCTGATTAAGGCGGGGGTAAGCTTAATTAAAATTTTTGATTTATATCAAGGCTAGGCTAGTTATATGCAATTTTTTTTGATACGTGGATTCCATGATACCATCTTGTATTCCATAAATGCTAATTGGGAATCCATTCAAGTTTTTCCTGAAGTTGTCTTATGTGCTTATGTGGGAGCCATAACTTTCCAGTTAAGTTAGAGAACATGGTTAAGCAAATTCTTCGAGTGGCTGCTATGTACTTGTAAATTTCAGAAGAATATCCTCCTGGTTGTTGTATTTAAATTCATCTTTGATGAGACATGCTCAAAGATTTAACAAAAAATATTCTAGGAATTTGATCCAAAATAGCATACATATTTTTTAGTTCTGCCCGGAAAGATTGCCGCTGTAATTGCCTCTCAGTATAAGTTCAACCTGCAAAACAAATGCAACCAAAGCAATAAGAAACCCATAAAGGTCCTGAAGCTGTTGTTCTTGGAACTGCCACATAAACTGTTGGGCATAAAAAACCAATAACTCCTGCTAAAACCTCATATAGAAGTATATACCAGATGTGACTGCACCAAGAGGTTCTAGCACCCTCGCCTGATAAAGAGCATTTTCAGAGCATAATAAATTCAAAAAGTGGAATATGTTAACATAATTGCCATTCGAGTAATTCATAAACCAACTTTGCTAGCATTATTTTGTTAGATGGCGACAACAATAATAACAATGTCAAGTCTTTATCCTGTTATATGAGGTCGGATATAAGAATCCTTTGTCTCCATTATGTCTTGTTAAGAGTCAAATTCTCATTTAAATCTAATAAAAAGACCATTTCTAATATTTTATGACCAAGTCTTTTTAGGTCTACCTCTACCTTTTTTAACATAGGTCAAATCTAATACATCTACTCCCTTAATTGGGTCATCGAAAGGCCGACATTTATATGACCAAACCATTTAAGGTGGCTCTCTCTAATCTTATCTGCCACTTGAGCTACTCCAACCTTTTCACTTATATACTCAGTTCACATTCTGTCTTTAAGAGTGAAACCACTCATCCACTTGAGCATCCTCGTCTATGCAATACTTAATTTTATGCTTCTCTTTTAATGGCCAACATTGTGCGCCATTAAACATTGCAGGTCTCACCACCATCTTATAGAATTGACCCTTAAGTTTAAGGGGCACTTTTCTATCACACAATATGCCAGATGCAGTCTTCCACCTCAGCCATCCAACTTGAATTCTACTAATAATATCCTCATCTATTTCACCATCACTTTGAACAAAGATCCGAGATATTTAAAACGCGTACTCTTATTAATGTTTTGATTGAAAAAGTCATAATCCCCCCACTAGAAATTTTACTACTAAAATTATACTCCATTTATTCGGTTTTAAATCTACTCAAACGAAAACCTTTAGTCTATAAGGTTGACATCCATAATTCAAATTTTCTTTCAATTCTCTCTAGTCTTATCAACAAGAAAAATATCAGCAACAAAAAGCATATACCAATGTACATCCTCTTCCAAATGTTTAGTAAGAACATCCATGACTAAAGCATAAATATATGTTTTAATGCTGATCTTTGATGTAATCCAACTGAAATATGAAAATACTTAGTCTAACCACCTTGTGTTTGAACACAAGTGAGTAACAACTCCTGCATATATATTCTTAAGGACTTGAATATAAATATTATTAATTCCTTTCTTTTCTACAACTATGCATAGCACTTCTCTTAGAATTTTATTGTATGCTTTCTCTAAATCAATAAATATCATACGTAGATCCTCCTTATTCTCTCTATAGTTTTCCATAAAATCTCTCAATAAATTTATAGCTTCCATAGACCTACCTAGCATGAATCCAAATTTATTTTGAGAAACATTAGTATCATGTCGTAATCTATGCTCAATAACTCTCCCTTAGTTTTAAAGTATGGCATTAATTTAATTTCTCTATAATTCGCACACTCTTGTGCATCACCTTTATTCTTAAAAATATGAATCAACAAACTCCTCCACTCATCTGACATCTTTTAATTATTCAAAATAATATTGAAAAGTTTTGTAAGCAAAGAAGATCCTTCATCTCTTAAATATTTTTACACCTCTATTGAAATATCATCTGGTCCAACAGCTTTTCCATACTTCATTTTCTTTAAAATCTCTCTAACTTTGATTTTACTAATATGAAAATAAAAAAAAAACATCTATTTTCATTTAGGTACTTAAGCCACTAAAGTCAATTGTATTCTCACAATCTTCATTGAATTGTTGAAATATCTCATCCACTTTTGTTGAATATTCTCTTCTAATAAAAATATTCTTTGATCTTCATTCTTAATGCATTTCACTTGAACTAATACTTACTTTTATTCTTTGCTTGGCTAACTTATGCATTTATCTTTCGTTCTCTATAGTATATAATCTATTATATAAATCATTAAAAATTAAATTGTTTGCATCGCATATTACTTTCTTAGACTCCTTACGGGCATTTTAATCCTTTTGATACTCCAAACATATTTTTTGCAACATTCTTAATATCACTAGTTATTTTGTCCCACATAATATTAGCTTTCTTATACATAGTCAAAATCTTAAGATTTTGAATCGTACTCTTAAAAATATTTTTGTTAGTGTTCTTTAAACGCTTCCATCTAATCTTAGGATAACATTATATTTTATTTTTCATATTCTGTCTCTTCATCTTGAAGTTCAAAACTAATAAGTGATGTTGAGTATGTAAATTCTCACTCGGAATAACTTTATATTTTTTGCAATCTAAATAATTTATTTTTCTTATAAGAAAATAATCAATATTAGTTTTACTATATTCATTCTTATAAATTTTGAGATGCTCATATATTTTCTTAAATAAAGTATTAGCAATCACAAAATAATTAGATTGAGCAACATCTAATATGATTCTACCAACTTCATTAGTCGCTTCAAATCTATAACCATCATGAATGTTATTAAATCTTCGGCCACTCTATCAACATATTCATTTAAATCACCTTCAATAAAAATTCTTTCTTCAAAAAGTATCATTTGTATTAATTCTTCAAAGTCATTTCAAAATTTTAATTTTGAGCATATATCCAAACCCATTTAACTAGCATAAGCACTTATAATATTAATAATCTTAGCATCAACAACAATCTTTAAAGTCATAATTCTATCTCCAATTTTATTAATTTTTACAATATTATCCTTCAAATTCTTATCTATAATCACACATACACCATTTTTAGTACGACTCCTACTTGGATACCATAATTTAAATTCTAAACTATCAATCTCCTTAGCATTCTCTTCAAACCATTTAGTTTCCTGAATACATAGAATATTAATCTTCCTATGAATCATAACATCTATTAATTTCATTAATTTGTCTGTAAGAGAACCTATATTTCAAGTTTCTATCATAATTCTAGTTTCTTGGACTAGCTTCATTTCCCACATCTGTTCTTCTAGTTCCATGGACTAGCTTCTTTTCTCACATCCGTCCATGATGTGGAAACCCTTGCTTTTTTAACATTGCACCTGGGCATTGGTGCAATGGCTCTTGCATAGTTCTCAAATTCATCAACGTTTAAATCATACTTGATTTTTTTTTTATAGAGTTACAGTGGGTGCCAGAGGTACAACTCTTGTTATGATTGGCATGGGCAACGTTAAATATCATGCTAAAGGTTGCATGATGCAACAAAAGAATTCGGCTTAAAAAAATAAGGAAGGTGTTAAAGAGTTTTTGGTTTAGGGAATAAAGAATTTTTTTTTTCTACATGGCTGCTGTTAAATGGTTACTTTGTGATGAATTACAAACTTCGGAACATAGCAGACTTCGTATGAAAGTGCAGTGTAACGGTTGAGAAATGCTCTCATATAATTAGGAATTTATCCTTATAATAAACTCCTATATGAATATTCACATACTTTTTTTTTAACATATCGAAGCTTCATTTTTTTTGTAGAACATGAATGTTGACTTGAGTCATCCAAAACTTTCGGGCGAAACTACAGTGCAAAGTGCAATAACAGAAGTTGCTTCCATGGTTGGTGAAAACGTAAAGCTTAGAAGAGGAATTACACTATCTACTTTATCACATGGGGTTGTCTGCTCTTACCTTCACTCTTGCCCTCAACCAGGTATTTCATTCCTAAAAGCTTGTAAAATTTTTGACATTGTGTTCATAGGTCTTTGAAAATCTTACATATTAACCAAACAAATTTATATGCTGAAACGTTCTTGATATTGGTAACTATTGATATCTTAGCCAGGCTATAAAAAATATGTTATAGGTGGATAAATTGTTTTTAAGTTTCCGGTACGTGCCAGTTTTTTGCTTCAGTATACTCTATTGTAATCTATGAAGTGAATTAACTATCGGTTATAATTGGTTTCGAGGAATTTTTTAGTGTATATATTGTGTCCCCGAGCCTTAATTGGTGTAAATATTTATGAGATTTGAATCTTTAAAGGATTGTTTAAACATTTTAATATAGTATCCCTTGAAGATGGTGCTTTTCAAGTGTGGGTTATTCCGTTTAATAACAAATCTAGATTAGATCTGATAACATCGGGACTGTGCAATGTCCTAAGGCCAAAACATCTAGCTGATTAGCTGATATATTTTTGCACGGGATCATTTGCTAGCTTTACCTTCGACTATTTCACGAACTTGGGAATGGAATTGGGGAGGCTACCATCTATTTCTTGTAATGTCCTCGTTGGTGCTGTATGAGTTTTCTACTACAAAGATTGATTTTAAGATTAAAGCCCGCTCTTCCTCCCTCTATTCTCTAGAATTGTTGTCTTCCTATAATGAACAGTTGACTGCGCTGATTGTTATAAATATAGTGGTAAAACTTAGTATAGGAGTTGCATAATAGGATTAGCATGAAAGTATTAAATTTTACTAGGGTGGTAGATTTCACTCAAACAATTTTAGATTTTGATAAATGATGAAATTTTAAATTTTATTAGAATTTAATCCCCAAGTGATTAACTTTGGAACTAATGAGCTTTTTGAAAACCATATAGTCCCCTCTGGTTAATATTTTCAATCAAAGTTACCATCATCGGGGTGTTTGAATATTTTATTTTGTTATATGGAGTGTAATTTTAGTAGTAATAGACCTAGTGAGGGGATTGTGACTTTGGGTGATCAAGTCATTAATAAGAGTACACGTTTTATATATCTTGGATCTATTGTTCAGTTTGATGGTGAAATAGATGGGGATATTATCAGCAGAATTCAAGTTGGATGGTTGAAGTGGAGGAATGCATCGGGCTTGTTGTGTGATAGAAAAGTACCCCTCAAACTTAAGGGCAAATTCTATAAGATGGTAGTGAGGCCTGCAATGCTTTATGGTGCTGAATGTTGGCCATTAAAAGAGAAGCATAATATTAAGTTAAGTGTGGCAGAGATGAGGATGCTCAGGTGGATGAGTGGCTTTACCCTTAGAGATAGGATACGAAATGAGCATATACGTGAAAAGGTTGGAGTAGCTCCAGTAGAAGATAAGATTAGAGAGAGTCGCCCTAGATGGTTTGGTCACATAAAACGGCGGCCTTCCAATGACCCGGTTAGGAGAGTAGAGGTATTAGATTTGACTTATGTTAAGAAAGGTAGAGGCAGACCTAAATAAACCTGATTAGAAAATATTAGGAATGGCCTTTCTTTATTAGATTTAAATGAGAATTTGACCTTTAATAGGACACAATGGAGAAAAAGGATTCATGTAGCCAACCCCATGTAGTGGGATAAAGGCTTGATGTTGTTGTTGTTGTTGTTGTATTTGAACCTTATCAACATTGCCTGCTTTGCTAAGAAAGGATCGGGTTCGAGTATTAACTTTGTGCGTTGCCGTATCAGTATGAACTCAAGAGATGTATTTTGTAATGAATTTTCTTTATAAAAGGTATTGAGCGCCTAATGTAAATGTAAAACTAATTATTATGGATTTTTTTAGTTATATATTCATTCATTAAAATAATAAATGAAAATGATTTATTCATATTGAGCTATTTGAAATTTATTGCTCGTTTGTCTCTTATGAGATTCAAGTCTTGTCAACTCCAATCATTACATGAAGGAGAATTGAACTTAAAATGTAGTACTTACAATTCTGCCCTACTGAATGTTTGTTCGAGAGCATTGTGCAATGACAAATTTGATTTGGAAAAAAATGACGAGTGTGTTTCAATTGGAATAGTTCACAAGAACAGCTTTTTAAGGCTAATCAAATCTTTTCTTATTACAGTGGCCACTGAGCGGCATTTTATAATTGCATTGATGTATCTGGATGGTTCAACATTGTGTTACCGGCATTGGATATATTTGAACAAATAGTTGAGCTCTTAGAATTCCTTCCTAGCAAAATATTCTAAAAAGGTTTGCCATCCTTTTGTGATCATTGAACCTATTTTCAAAGATCAAACTTGACACAATGTGGAACTCAACATCACAAGTCTGTTTGCTAAAGAAACTATAGAAGAGTTGGATATACAAATGGTGCCGACATTGCAACTAGTGCATGAGTGCACAAATCTAATCAATAAGAATTGTGGCTACATAGACATCCTCCACCTTCATGTTTACCGTGGGATGAACTCGAGGAGTTTGTCAAGTACCAATCGGTCAATATTTTCTTTTGTAACGTATTTTTTGGCTTAGTGCATAAGAATGATTTGATTGAGAAATTGTGGTTGAATGGATGATGGCTGCCTCCATTAGATTGACCTTAAAATTCAACCTTTGGGGCAAGTCTTGTGAGAGGGGGAGTTGTGTTGTGAATCTAAGTGGGATTTTGAGAGGATCTTTAGTAGTTAACAATTGATTACTTAGTTAGATTAATTAGTGATGAGGACATTAGATTTCGACACGTGTACCACCATCGGAGACGCATATCGATGGCTACGATTCAGAGCCTCTACTTCTGATTTATTTGCATTTTTATTTTATGCTTGTAACCCCACGTAGTGGGATAAAGGCTTGATGTTGTTGTTGTTGTTGTTGTTGTTGCTTGTATTTCTTGTTTCCTAGTTTGCCCCTGTGGGCATTGAGTCGCTTATGTAGCTCGGAAGGGCATTTGTGTCATTTCATTTTTATTTCATTTTGGCCTACTTATATGAGGCCTCATGCATTGTAATGAGTAGTTTTTGATAAATGAAATTTTTTGCTCTTTGTTCTCTTTGTGTGTACATTCCTCCGAGATCTCTTAGTGAGTTCGTCGGAGAAACTAGATCTCTTTGTGAGTTCTAGTATTCGCCCAAGTTAGTTGTGTGTGGAAATCCAGATTGAAGATAATTGAGGTTAGTAAATTCGTAGCCGCTCGAATCCCTAGAAAATTTCCTTTCTTCCTCCCCTTGCACTTGCCGCCGCCTAGCCCTAAGCCTCCCAAGCCGCCGGCCACTTGGCTGCCACATCCCGCCGGCCGGCCAACCCCAAGCCATGACCCGCCCCTTGCCTCTTCCTCTAGCCGCCGGCCGCCCCTTCCTTGGAATTTGAAAATTCAAATTGTCATGAGCCATTAAATGCTTCTTAATTTAGCTCCCTAATTTATGCAATCAATTTAATTGGATTCCAATTTCAAATTTGAAATTCAAATTGATTGTCCTAATAATTGAAAATTTTCTCCCCTAAGTAAAACTGAAGTTTTATTTCAAATTTTTGTAAAATATGTAATTAAATTTGTGGTCCCCACTCACATAACTCTTAAGCCCCTCTCCCCTCTCCACATGGCCAGCCCCCTTAATGGCTTTCTCTCTCTTCCAAATTACATTAATAGCACCACAAATTTAGCCCAAATCTTCTCCCCATTGCTGCCCCTCCCTCCCTCCCTCCTTGGATTAATTTGAAATTCAAATTAAATCCCTCTCCTAAACCACTAAAATCTGAATTTTATTTCAGATTTCCTGCATTTGCCTCTTTGCCCCCACCATAGCCGACTACCCTCTAGACCTCACGCCGGCCGGACCTTTCCACTCCAAGCCTCCACCTCCTCCCTCCCTTCTTCTTCTTTGGTACTCCCTCAACTCCCGGCGAGGATGCATGGCGGAACCCGAATGGAACTTTGGATTTGTGCATGACGATCAAAATCAAGTCGACATTCTCCAATTGCTATTCTTTGACGTGGGCTTTGATTTCGACGACACCGTTGAAGAATACATCGACCGTATTCATTACATCTTAGTGGACGTGATCGACGAGCAAAGGTCAAAGGGATGTTGGATCATCATTGAACGACGATCATCCTCCACCACTCTGGCCACCTATCCAAGAACGACGATCCTAGGTTCCTTCTTCCTCGGAGTGATCTCGATTCTAATGTGGAGACTCTTCTTCCGCTAAAGCCTAGACTTTTGAGCGTATGGGCTCCAAAGGTGAAAGTTGTCATTATTAAATCGTGGATTCTTGTTTATCGTCGTAGCTTTACAATTACTCTTTGCGTTTTCTTGAATTGTTTGGTTAATCGACTTTGCTCTTCTTGGCCTAAGCAAGTTAAAGACTAGGAACTCCGAGGATCAATCTTTATTATAAGTAATAACTTTATTTTGGGATTATTTTGTTAATTTGCTCTCTTTAATTTCTTAAGTAACTCATGTTGTTTCACATCCATTAGTTTAAGATAGTATTGTATTCTATGTATATATCCCATTTGGGGAGGTTGATGATATGGAAAAAAATGAGAGTTCCCCTTCTTCTATCTATTTCTCTCTTCTCCTTTCTTTGGGAGTGTTGAACGGCTCAAAATGAGATCTGATTCTCATCACATATCAACTAAGATTATATATGATGGTAATAGTTGAAAATTCTTTCATGACAATTCTCATTTAAGTTTAACCATTGGCCTGGATGATTGGGAAACACACAACCATGAAATTTATTTTATGAGATATTCAGTTATTAGTTTTGGTGCTAAACGCTTCCCTTTGAAAAAAATGATTGTCAATTATATTGTTAGTTTTGGTCATACTATTAATTTTCCTAGCCACCATCAGGATATTAGTTAATTTTTTCTTTGCAATAGTGACACATCTAAGGATAATGTATATGCTTAAGCAGTTAGTTGTATTGTTACTTCTTTAACAGTCAACTTGTTGATGTGGACATCAGAGCTTGGAGAGTTTATCACCGTAGAGGCCGGAGATCTACGGCATTGATTGAGTCTTTATATTTTTAGTTTTCATGTGTTGTATGAGATTTATGGGGTATTATTTATTTTATTTTAGTTTTACCCTCACTTGAGGGAGCTTTTGTGTTGTTTGGCCAAGGGCCTTCTTATCTTTTGTCCTTTCATATTTTTGGTGCCTATATGTATGGCCCATTATTCTCTTTTATGGATGATGAATATTTTGATATAAATTTATGGGTGTGAAGTCCTCTAGAGAAAGTCAAAGAAATACCCAATAGCGTGTGAGCTCTTGGTTGGTATCATTTTCCCTCTCTAACTCTTTTTTCTCCTTCCCTAGCTACCCAAATAGCCCCCTAGCTACAACAAATTGCTGCCCTCAACCAGCAACCACCTCCCTCCCTTGCTCTCATCCACCTCCACCTTCTACCCAACGCCTTTACCCTTGGGCTTTCCAAATTCTGTAATTAATTTACATTAATTGAGCATTTATCTCAATTAATTGTGACCTTTGGAGATCCGTAACCACTTTTATTTTTTATCTTGCCAAGCAAGCCACATCGGCCCTCTCTCTTCCCAAGCAACCAGCTCCACCTCTTCACCTCCGAACTTGACTTTTTCCTTTCCTAAGCCAACTACTTCCCTTCCCAAGTAAGCCACATCAGCCCTCTCTCTTCCCCAAGCAACCAGCCCCACCTCTTCACCTCACAAGCTAACTTTTCCCTTTCCCAAGCCAACTTATTCCCTTCCCAAGCAAACCACATTAGCCCTTTCTCTTCCCCAAGTAACCAACCCTCACCTCTTTACTTCTTAAACTGAATTCTCTCTTTCCAAGCTATTAAAATCAGTCAAATCATCTCACCCCTCCTCTTCCCCATACAGCCAGCCTAGTTCACCCTTCCAAACCTCAAAACCGTGAGCTCTCCACTTCCAAATCTTCATATAGCTGAAACTTTCTTTTCTCTCCTCGCTATTTTACCTCTCCAAGGAAACTTAGCTTCTACTAATGCAACAAGGACATTGATTCAATAAAGAGCAAGGGTTTCAAGGGTAAGCCAAGGAGGAACTAGCCATCACTTCATCAAGGACTTCATTCCTCCCATTCATGAGCTAAGTATCAAACCCTCCCTTTGTCTTCATCTAACTAAGTATTGGTCTTCTCATTTCATTTATAGTAGCGTCATCTCATATGTGTTGATTAATCCGCAAAGTTCTACTTAAATTTGAGCAAACAGAAACTCTAGTGACTAGTCCCTTAATTAAATGTTGGACTTTTGTCAACCCATATAAGCTAGTCTAAACTGATTCACTTTTGTTATTATTTAGCCTTTGCTTGTTAGTTTTTTACTATCACATGATTTAATAGTTCAAATCTTCTTATTGTTCTTAATGTTTATGAAGTTTATGTTGCTGTCTTTGATGTTCTCTTATCTTAAATCTCTATTTGCATGACTTATTTTGCTTAGTCCTGCATCACTTGTTCTTTTATACCAAGCAAATGGGTGATGATTCTTTGAGGATACAACCATGAATGTATCCACTTTGGCATCGAGTGTGAAAGGCATGCTCAAATGGACTTGTGTTAGATATGCAATTGAAATGATGATGGACCTTTTTTTTAATAGAATATTTTTTTAACTTCCATTGCAATTATGGATGGTCAAGTGCATCTGGCATTTTGTGGTGATCCCTGGAAGGAATGTTGATTCCATTCAAATTATAATTATCCTAACAACAGTGGTTTATATTTATGCTTTAGATCTGCTTAACGACTTTATCTGCATTTTGAATCTTTTAAACAACTAAGGGAGTTTTTCCCCAGCTGGTTTAAAATAGGGGTGTAAGTGAGTCGGCCGGCTCGCGAGCTAGCTCAAACTCGACTCGTTTAATGGCTTGCGAGCTGAGCTTGTTGAGGCTCGACTTGTGAGCCGGCTCGAAAATGGTATTTTGAGCTAATTTTTTTATTATATTTATAAGTAATAAATTAAGTTAAAAAAATTAAGTTTGATGATAGCATTTTTTCTCCCAAAACAGCAGCTTCATATAAAAATTCAAAAGTCTTCTCTCAAATACCTATGCTAATAAATGCTAATAAATGTTGTCAGCTTTTTTTCCTCATAAATAATATAATAAGAAGCATTATGCTGTTGCAGTAGCTTTTTATTCTCCCAAAGCGGTAGCTGTTTATTAGCATTGGTAAAACTAAACGGGAAAACAAAAAGACGGGCGGGAAAACCAAATGAGCGGCTCGACGAGCAGCTCGATGGCTCGTTACAGTATTGCGAGTCGAGCTCGATGTTTGACACGAGTCTAGCTCGAACAGCCCGAGCTCGACTCGACTCGTTTGCACCCTAGTTTAAAAAGAAATCTTAAAAAAATCTGTCTTTTTTTCCTTTGGATTTTAATACATGCTTCTCACTTTACTTTTTAAGGTTTGGGCCGTATTGCGGGAATGCTTACTATTGAAGCGGAAGATAGCAATGCTTCATTAGAGTCTCTTAGAAAGGTTGGCTCCTCATTAGCGATGCACATTGTGGCAGCAAAGCCATTGTTCTTATCAAGGGAACATGTTTCTTCTGAAGCAATAGAAAGTGAACGAGACATTCTTAAATCTCAGGTAATTCATCAACCTGATGACCGGAGTTTTTTCGTTTTCTGATCTATATTAAAGCAATAGTATTTACATGTAGTGCAGTTTCTCTGATGCTGTTAAGAAGTATTGAAATTAGTTAATTTATTTCGTTATTAAGGTTCTTATGAAATATACTGAGCTAAATGTTTTAAGTTTTCCTATCCATATAACTAGTTTCTGTGCCTTATACTTTTAGGATATCTGTACCTTATACTTTTAGGATATCTGTAGACTTGTTAAATGAAGATATATTGAGATTGTATATCTCAGATGTGTGTGTTCCTCTTGATCATAGAGTTCTAAACGCTCTTCAATTGCATTTTTTTTAATAAGATCTTCAATTTGAAAATTATCACACCTCGGCCTGTAAAAATTATAAAACTAATTTTATGTGGCATTAGACGTGGGCATTAAATTCTTTTTCAAAATGAGGAAAGTGATCCAATTGAATTGTAATGAATAGTATGATCATAAACTGAGATAACTTGCATTAACTGATCAAATTCCACCTGGATGATTCATTGACATGGGTGGCAGACTCATAGATTTATGCTCAAGCAACAAATTCAAACTAGTTCACGCGATAAGTTATAGAAATAGGTTGAGGCCCATGATATGATGAGATTGATCTCCTTTTTTATCTATTGAGATTTGTACTGTTTGCTAACAATAAGGATGCATTTTGTTATCCGTGCAATGTTTATGGTGGGCCACAAAGCTTCCTAGCATTGGTAATGGCTAGAAAAGTTGATAACTTCCAGTTGCTTGCTATTCTATTTACTATTTTTTATGTTCGAGTTCGCTTGGAAATTGTTAGTTCAAATGATTGGTTACACCCTGAATATTTTGTTTAGAGCTTGACTGTGGACTGCTGACCTAAAAAAATGTGATAAGATTAAGGTTTCCAAATCCATGAAATATGGAGCTATATGCATTCATAGGTGACAAAGTGATGCAGCTTTCCTCCCTTGGTCCTCATTGTGTAACGATTATAAGTTGAAAAAAAATGTTATTGTGAAAAAGCATAATATAACACATTTTTTTGTTATTTTATTTTATTTTATTTTTTGTAATATAACACACTTTATAAGATCAGTGAATGAGGATTATTTCATTGCCTAAATTAATTGGACGCAGCAAGGTGTACTCTGAAGCGGTGAAGAGCTTGCGTCACTTTTCATCTCAATGCTCTTTCAAGTGTTTCAGTTATACGACCTGCTTTTTTAGAAATATAGTTGCTATTGTTTATAAACTTTTTGCGGTGCTTGATAGCATGTTTTATATAATTTTTTGCACGTTTCTTCCTTTTTTTCCAACATCACATGTTATTTGCGTTAAAAATCCTTGATGATGTGACATCCTACATCATTTACCCTTTTGAAATGCTTAAATAAGCCTCGTGTACATTTCAAAATTTAACTGTCTTTTATAAGATTAATTGGCCTTAATTAAGTTGAACACAAACTTATGAAAGCTATTGCCGAATTTCTTCAAGTAGAAGACTGAGCATTACCTGACCCGAGCCTGAGGTTCTAGATGTATTTTATCCATTTTTTTTTCTTGAGCTTTAATATTTAGGCACTCAAAAATGGTTTGGACATGATTTTGGGTCAAGTATGACTTTAACTTGGCATCTCAGTGTTTTTCTTAGTTTTTCCCTTTTTCAAACCCCTTGTTAGATCTGTAGATTGTGTTTGATTCATTATATATTATCCTAGATATAGTAATTATTCAGTTCAGTTTATTTGTTTATCTTTGTGCTTGTTCTTGTTATTAAAGCTTTTCTTTCTTTTGTGATCCAAGCGCAACTTATCATGCCTCAACTTTTTTTTTTAAAAATCGGTTTCAGGCTGAAAGCTCTGGAAAATCTCAAATTGCTATGGAAAAGATGGTGGAAGGTCGTCTCAGGAAATACTTTGAAGAGGTAGTTTTGTTGGAGCAAAAGTTCGTTATGAATGATGGTATTAACATTAAGGTATGAAAGAAGTTATCTTTACACCAGGCATTTCAATTATCTCATACCATTTATTGTTTTTAAGTGTTATAATTTTCACGAGTCCACTTTTTTTTTGAAAACCTGGGCAAAATTTTCTCATTAATATAGAACAGAAATAGCAGTTTTAAAATAATAAGATTAGAGAAAATAATGCCAAAAGCTGAAGAAAAAGAAGACACAACATTCAAATAATTCTAGAGAAAAGCTGAATAGGTCTAGATGTTAAGTTGATCTCTTCCATAATTTCTCCAAAAAATAGGCGAAATGAAAGGGCTTTCTCCTTTTTCATGTTGGAAAAACACATAGCATTACTTTGACTACAAATGATCCTAATGGAAGAGAAGAAAAAAAATATCATAGAACTTTCTAAAATCTTTCTTGACCAAATCCATTCCCCCAAAAGAAAAAAAATGAACTAATGATGTCGACATGAGTAAAAATATAAAAAAAAACGTTATATAAAGTTTCCATATATTAGAAATAGTTTGGCAAGTGAAAAATACATGTAAAGCATCTTCCAAAATTTTCCTGCACATATTACATGCGGCTGATTGGATAATACCTTTGCCAAGTAGAGAAATTATTGCCAGGAATTTAGTCATATGGATAATCCAGCCAAGCACCCAAGTTTTAATCGGAACAATAGATCTCCAAGAATAAGATCCGGTGGAATTATGAAAGATTAGAAGGGTTTGACCGAATGTATATCATTCGTTGAGATAAGCCAAACAGGATTGCCTGGCTTTTGTCTAAGACAGTAGTATGGTTGATGAGTGGGAAATAAGTTTTTGGAGTTTACCACATTCTAGATACTTAGGCTTCGTTTGGAACGGCTTTTTTTGTTACTTCTTAAAGCAAGTTTTTAGAACAAAAATTAATTTTTTTATACTAAAAAACTGCTTTAAGAAGCAACAAGAAAGTCGCCCAAACGAAGCCTACTGCTTTTTAAAATGGCTTTCTAGTAAAAAAAAATTCAAATTCAAGAAAATTTTTTACTAAAAAGTTGTTTTAAAAAACAAGAAAAAAGCCGTACCAAACGAAATCTTAGTATTTGCTGGTGGCAGTCTTATTGCTTGTATTATAAATGATCTTTTCAGTATATGTAGTGGCACCACATCAAACAGTTTTTTTTTTTTTTTTCAAAAATGGTCAGTGCTGTGTGCCTTTTTCTTTCCTCTTTGTTGTTTTTGAAATAGTATGATGATGGCTGTTGTGGAATATGTGTTGCACGACATGACAAAGCAGCATAAATAAAGAGCATTTGAAATGTGGCTTATTGTGATTTGGTAGAGTCTCTGTTAGGTAACTTTCTTTAGGACTTGTGCAGTAAGAGCATCTTTTTCATATTTTAAATCTTCCTGCAGTCTTTGCTCGATGACTTGTCAAAAGAAGTTGGATCTTCAGTGAAGATTGGCAGTTTTACGAGAATTGAAGTTGGTGAGGGGATTCAAAGGTAATTATTTTGTTTTAGCCAATTGTTCAACTTTTACTTGTAGCCATGAGTTAACAGATGACATCTATGTTAGAAAGTTCTGTTTTTGCGCTCTTTGTTAAATTTTCATTTTTTTCTCCCACATATGAACCACTCTGAGGACCATAGTCATCAAGTTAAGGTGAAATTATTTTGTGTGGATGCCGAACGCCATCCATAGCCCAACCAAAATGAGCCACGTCGCCCCCTGTTTGGTACCCGGCTCGGTACTACTCGGCACCGCGGCTCAGTACCGCTCGGTACTCTGCTCGGCACTGCTGACGTAGCACATTCTAATTGATCTCAGAACAGTAAATTGTGTTTGGCGTCCACACAGAATAATTTCTCCTTAACTTGAGGAATATGATCCTCAATACAAGACTGCCAACTTTGATACCGCATTTGCGGTCACAACAAATTCTTATTGCAAAGGCATCTTTGCCACTGCATGAACGGTCACAAAATTTAAAGATTTTTTGTCAATTTTGTCATAAGTAGGCATTTTAACTTCTGACAGATTCTTCCCTTTTGAATGCTTTGCAGGATTGAAGCTTCTGATTAACTTTAAATTGCTGCTTCTAATGGATAATTACCTTTAGTTTTATTTAATGAGGAAAAAATTACTGTGCTATCTAATTGTAAGAGGCTGTTTGTTTTTAATTTTTTTTCAAATATTTATTATAACTTTAAAATTGTTTATTATATTTCTTTCTGAAACTTTTGTGTAGAAAATTGTTCACACCATTGAGATAATAAGAAAGATTATTTAGGGGAAGGTGGTGGTGGGTTTGATAATTGATGGTTGCTAGTGCTGGCAAAAGCCAAAATTTAGTTAAGATGAATTTTAAAAGAATTGAATTTATTTTAAAATAAATATAATATATAAATAAAGAATTAAAATTTATGTTTTAAATAAAATTAGGTTAAAATGGCCGAACAAATTTGATTATGTGGGGTTTTAAAATTTATAAGTTTATGTTAAGATTATCTTAGTAAAATTGATTGGTTATTTATATACTGTGATAATTTAAAATAAATATAAAAATTAGCTTCCATAAAAAATTTCTTCTCATATTATTTTCATTTCAAATGAAAAAAAAAATCATCAAATTTAAATTAAAATATATTGCCATTATTTTCTTGCAGCCAAATTTATGCTACCACAGGCCAGAAAATCATATAAGATCCTAGAAGAGGATCGGATGGCTTCTTATTAAGTTGATTCTTAAACTTTTAAGCTTCTTTTCTCTCTAAAAAATTAGTAGTAAAAAAATCATTCTAAATAAAATCTTAAATTTCATTTTAGATTGTTTTCTTATTGCTTCTTAAAATAATTTTTTTAGTATAAAAATAAAAAATTTTATATTAAAAATTTATTTTAAAAAGTAGCAAGAATCTTAATATTGAATTATTTTTATATAAAAATAAATATTTTTTTTTGATTTGAAACCTCAGATAGGCATCTGCACTATCAAATACACATTTTTATTTATAAAAGATTCTTACTGTGCTTTTCGATTTTTTCCTTGGACATTTTTAGTAAGGATTTTATGGTAGAATTCTTGGTCCGTTAAGGTAATTAGGGATAATATATACTCTTGCCACAAGAACTGATTCTTAATATTAATATTAAATAATAGGGTTGAAAATAATACTAAAATTTTATAAAATATTTTGATGGCCTCTTCTTATTGCTAAATCTCTGACTTGCATTGGGTTCTTTGAAATGAGATATTGGGATTTCTTTGTGCAAGGACCATTATAAAATATACTTCATGAGGATCTAACATCTAAATTTTGTGGTAAAATATCATATTGAGAGTAGCCACTTTCATATATCTTAGGGCTAAATTAACTCTCATGATGTTTTATCTTTCATGTATGCACATATATTTATATATCATCTTGAACTAGTTGATTTAATTTAAGCTCAACACAATTTAAGTTCCATCCAAATTGAACCTAATTCACTACCACACTCACTAGTAGGCCTATTCAAGCCTGATTTGTGTAAAAAATCGGAGAGATTGTTTTGTGCGGTATCCGAACACGTCCAAAGGCCAATTCGATGGCACCACGTCATGTAATGTACTATATCTTGAGTGATGTAGATCGTTCGGATTGGCCTCTGGACACGTTCGGACACCGCACGTAATAATTTTTATAAAAATTGAAACAATTTTCGTGCATTATTTGATCTTCATGTCAAAATCATAATCATATATAAAAGTGGACCATTATGAAAGAATTTTTATATATATAAAAAAAAGGACAGCTTGATAAGAGGATACAGGATATCACCTACATTTATTATGATACCTCATCCAAATAGTTAAAAACTTGAGTTTACTTCTCTATTATTTTATCTTAAGAACCTTTTTTAAGAATTTGAGCATCTATTCCAAGCATTTACCCTTCATTCATCTCCAAATTAGATTTTATATATATATATATATATAATATTATCGTTGAGACAATTTGCTTCAGTGATGATGATAACATCATAGTTGTGTTATTGATGGTGCTCTCGAGCAACAAAGAAGACAACAATTGTCGACAATTTTAAATGAAAGGATGAGATTAGATTAACTCTCGGATGAGTTAATGATTAATCAAAGTATCTCAATTTCAACCAATATGTAATTAGCAATCAATATCATGTTATTAGCATTAGGGTTTATATCATTAATCATGTTAATCTTAGCATGGAATTAATGCTCTAAGTTCTATGGAAGCTCCATCTACATATGGATGCTATTCATTTGAATGCATATGAGCTTTTGAAGGTAACGATCACCAAGGCTTTGGTATAATTTCTTATTGCTTTTTAAAATAACTTTTTAGTACAAAAATTTCTAAGCAATAAATTTTTGTACTAAATTACTTCATAAGGTAGTAAGAAAATTGTCCCAAAAGAAATCTAAATAATGGGCTAGGGCATCATTTTTTGAGCTCAGAGTTCGAGCTCAGTATTTGGCTCGCGGGTCGAGCTCAAACACCCCTTCACTCGAGCTCAACTTGACTTGTTTGCACCCCTATTCTCCACTACCCATAAAATGGTCTCCAACAAGTTCTTTGACAACTTTGAATTAGAATCAACCATCCTATTCCCCCCCAAAAAAAAAAGAATCAACCATCCTAACTTTGATTGATAAAATAAGGGCCACATTTGAAGACGGGTCAAGAATAAGAAGCCTACATCATTTTTCGATCTAATTCTCACTTAAATTAAAATAGAAGAGAGTTTGTAATGTGGGACAACAACAACAACAACATTAAGCCTTCATCCCATTATGAGGGGTCGGCTTATATGAATAATTTTTCTCCAATCTCCATTGTGTCATGTTAGAGTCAAATTCTAATTTAAATCTAATAAAAAAAAGATCATTTCTAATATTTTTAACCAAGTATTTTTAGAAAAATCTCTAACTTTCTTAACATAAGACAAATCCAATACATTTACTTGCCTAGCCAGGTCATCCGAATGCCAAAGTTATGTGTGACCAAACCATCTAAGACGACTCTCTAATCTTATAAGCTCAAATGTAGGATAGCTGAAGAAAAAATCTAAAAGGGTTCAATGCAAGACATCAATAGCCAAGTGCCATATTATATCCTGAACTAGAGATATAGATCATTTCATAATGTGGATGTCATTTATTTTGGGTCATATTTGAGTATTTACAGTACTAAATTGAACAAATCTTTAAGCTCAACTAAAATGACTCATACAAATAATTCATGAACCATTTAGACCTTTTCTCCCATTCAAAATCTACTGAATTTGGTTATATTGTCTAAATCACGTTAGAAAGATATACAATAGTGTGAATAGAATTAAGAAGTTGTTCACAATTGCAAGCACATTTTATTTTTTGTAGTAATTAGAAATCAAAGAGAGAAAAAATATCACTATTTCACCCAAAATTTGATTAAGGAAAGTTGTGTAAACATTTAATTTATTTTAAAAAGAATACAATACATGATAAATCAATAAAAAATTTAAATTATATTTATCTAAAAATAAATACAAAATTTATATTAAGTCAGAATATTCTTACCCAAATTAGCCGTTGAAAAAGAAAGTTCAGCTTACTGCCTGAATGACATGCGTAAAAATACAACTGCAGAAGAGATTTGCACCTGAAGGTCAGCAATATCAACATCATGACCACCTTCAACTAAACCCCACTTGTCAACCTGAGAAGAAGCTAAACAAGTTAAATTAGCCATGAAAAAACACATTAAATTCTCTCTTTAATGCAAAATAAAACTTCTTCTAACAATAGAGACCTGCAAGTCTTCTTCAAGCCTAATCAATTCCATGGTTTCCTCAATATTGAGTCTCTCACGAAGAATTGCAAGAGCTATGACCAAAGAGTGCGCAGAAGCAGCTATTGCATCAATTGCTGCTAACTCACAGTCGGTAGTCTTCTGCAGGACATTTTCTATAGCATTGACAAAGTGATTATCCTGCTTGCAACCAAAAAGACTAGAATGTAGCTTTGGTTTAAAGCCAAATTCTGATTGAAGCCATTCAATTAAAGGGTCAATTTTCTCCTCTTGTTTCTCTGTTAGTAGTCAAGGAAAAATGCACGTTTAATGAGACCTCTTATAATTGCAAGTGCAATCAGGTTCTGTTTATGATGTGCTTCCAATAATAATAATAATAAATGTGCTTCCAAAGAAAGAAGAAATAATTCGTTTAGTATTTTCTTAGCAAAATTTAAGAGAATACACCAATGGCTTGGCATTGGATTTATGCTCTGTGGATGTAGCTCCAAAATTCATGTATGGCATTCATCACTAATGCAAACAAATGGTGCATTCTCCATAGCCTTTTTGCTCTAGATATTATGAATGAATATTTCATAATATGAGCCTAAGACATTAGAACAGGAAGTAGAAATGTAGATCTGCACAAGCAATAAATAAATAAATAAATGGGGGATTTACATACATACCATTTTATTTCATGTTATTTACAGTTATTTACATATTTAATACCTAAAACTTTAATATTACGTGCCTACCACGCATAGAACAAATATGGGTGCATTGAATGAAATATTAAAGTTTATAGGATGGTATGAGTGGTAAGAATGAAATATATGAGTGATATATTTAATATTAAAATTTTATGTAATGTTAAAGTTTTAAGTGTTAGATATGTAAATAGGATGAAATAAAATGGTACGTATATAAATTCCCCATAAATGAAATAAATAACAAGCAATAAATTCTACGTCAAACAATTACTGAAATATAAAACATTTATAGTCATTGGAAACAACAAGGTCAGAGAAGATGGAGCAAGAGCCCGAATTAACATCAGAGAAGTTCGGGAAAATGAGTGACAAATAAAGCGAGAGAACAGAAAATTGAACAAGGTAGAGAGTGATCAAATGGGAGGCAAATCAGGCTAACTAGGAGTGACTGAGTGGATCAACAGCAAACAGAATGCTAGTAAGGGTCGAGCAATCGCATAGCTAACACAATTGGGATATTAGCTTCTGCTTGAAGCATAGTTCAAGTGAGGTAAGAGTTTTTCTTTCCTTCAAAATTTAGATTGAAATTTTATGCTGGATTTTGATTGATGAGAAATCTTAAATTTTTATCTTTACTAATAAAATTATTAGATATATTCAAATAGATGCTAGTTATGATATCATTCTTTCATTAATTATATCATATAATGTCAGGGGCGGAACCAGCCTTAATTCTTAGGAGGGGCAAAATTATAAAAAAATAAAAATATATATTTATAACAAAAAAAAGTTCAATATAAAGAGTTAAATATCATATAAGGAATCAATCCAACAATAATAAATCAATCCATAACAACAGATATACAACAATTAGAAAAAAAGTTCAATATATCAGCCTAGCATTAAAATCGCCACTGAAAGGAGAAAAAAATCTAAATCAAAAGTGTGAACTTAAAGACTTTTCTCCAGCATATGGAGTAGCTTCCAGCACTGAGCCACTGACTTATGCTTCGCCAATTATAAGCAGACATATATTGGTGGGGGTAATAACTAGCCATAACCAAAAGAAAAAAAAATACAGAGCTTTTACCTGAAGAATTTAGAGAAAATCAAGCCCATTCTCAAGGCCTCCATACTTGTTTGAGCTTTATTTAAAAAAACTTCTCCAGTCCATTCTCAAGGTCTATCAATTCCCTCCATCACATACCTTTTATCGAGTGTTTGAGTGTCTTAATGATGTCATAATTCGATCGACGATCTAGGGCTCTTTGGATTTGTCTCATTGAGCTTCTCAATTCGACTATAAGCATGCTGAAATCAAAGTTCGAATGGTTCCAAGTTTAATTTAGAAAGTTTCTAATTTGAATTTGCCTCGAGATCAGAGCCCTGCATTGGGCACCCATACCCACACCCACCCACGTACCCACCCATACCCAATGGATATGGGTGGGTATGGGTATACTCATAGACTTATGGGTGGGTATGTGTGGGTACTCAATATGGTGGATAAACCCTCAGGGAGATCATCCAGCACATCTTCGAGGAGAAGTTCGTGTTCAGCCCGTCCATGTCGTTGCGATGATGCTCGACCCGGTCATGAAGATGTGTTTGCATGGGTTGAACATCAATGCTGATTAGGTTGACGAGGCCAAGGAGAAGTTGAAGGCATATATGATCAAGCACGGCCATGGCCTTAACTCAGTCATCGATGAAGATGACGATGGCATAAGGCCACCGCTGGCTAAGAAGGCACGGATAGACACCACCGCCTCCTACTCAGTTTGCGATGACTTGCATAAAGATGATGATGAGCCTGAGATGGCCACCAACATTGCCCCTAATAGCTTGCAAGTCAGAGCCGGCCTAGAGTTCATGGCCTACATGTCGCATAAGGTTAGCCTGTAAGAGCAGAAGATGTGCAGTGACGAGGACGGGGAGTTCGACGTCCTAAAGTGGTGGGGACTGGTGGGCATCAAGACGTTCCGATCATGGCACTAGTCATAAAGTCTATTTTATGCATTATGGACGCCAGCGCCATGTCTAAGAACAACTTTTCAGACGGCGGCAACACACTGACTAAGAAGCGCAACAGTCGAAAGCCCGCTCACGTGAATGATCTATTATTCTACCGATTGAACAATGACTTGCGTGGCTTGTTAACATGTTAGTCCAATGCACCGCAAGCTTCATATAATATATTGTGCTGCACTCTAACAACTTGTCCCCTGCATCATTATATAAAACCATGTATTTTATATTACAGGCATTTGAGAAATATGAAAATACTTTTATTCCGTTATTATCTTCTACATTTCAATTCTCTGTATGATTTCTTTTACGTCTAAGGTTGAACAATGCATGGGTATGGGTGGGTACGTCATCCTGAAAAATATTATGAGTGGGGGGTGGGTAGGTGGGCGAAGCCAGTCCGCACAGAGCGTGGGTACCCAATGGGTACTCGACCAGGACCCTGTGTAGGGCTCTGATGTTAGGGAAAAAAAAGGGGCAAACGAATTTTTTCAGAGGGGGCAAACTACTAAAATGCCCTTGCATGTAATTAATTTTTTTTTTTAATGGGGGGCAATTGCCCCCCCTGAACTCTACATGCTTCCGCCCTTGTATAATGTATACTAGAGAAAATTATTGAAGGATACGAAAATACAAATGAAATGAACTATATAGAACTGCTTGTATGTGTATGTTGACAAAAATAGTTTAATGATTTATGATATGAGCTATTGACGCTAAAGCATCCAAGGATAAAATTGAAAAAGACATTGATATTGAAGTACCTCAAATGGTACAACTTAGATGGTAATCCTATAAAGGATATATTATATGACTTTAATAGGATAGTATGAATGTCATTATTAGTGCATAATATGATCATTCACTATTTTATTAGGTTCTGATTCTCATACTGTATATAGATCTTATCAGCCATATGAACTTGCTGATATGATGCCTTACTGGGCAAGAAATGGTCAACTGATTTTGGAATGTACTTAAAAGGATTTTCTCAAAATTGGCTATGAGCTAATTCGACTTGTTTGCACATATTTTTAATCTAACAATAACGCAATACCATGAGACCACAGGCATTCAATCATAATTAAATCTCCCTGTGCATGCAATTCTAGAAAGGAAACATGAATCTTGGTCAGTTGGCACTTGGCAATGCAAACATGAAGTTCTTCTTTTGCTTCATAAAGGGCTACAACGCTGTGGTTTAGGCAAAGCTAAACATAAAATGCATCAAAGATTCACAGTCTCACTTCTTCTGAGTTTGGAGCTTTCTTATACTTCTAAGTTGTATATGCTAAGAATGCTTTCCACATAGGGCCATAGCATAGCCAGTTCATAAAAGAATTCATACCATGAAATAAAAGTTAGGGTCGTTTTTACAACACCAGAGACCAAGAGCAATTAGGCATTTCTTACATGAAGGAGCACCCAGAAATTAATGTCCAATTGTGCTAGTTTTTCATTATTTGACATTCTCTTGAGTGTCTTTCACTTACAGGTTATCATCCCAATTCTCTAAACTGTATTGTCAATTGTTAAAACAGGCTGAGAAGGTTTAATAATCAAAGCTTTATGACCGGCCATCAATTTGACGTCTACTCCATAAAGAACTTCAACAAAATCCTAACAGAGGCATGCCGCATTATCAAATAGTACTTCCATCACTTGGGTCCAAAACAAACTGTTTAGAAAATGTCTAAATTTTAACTAAAACCATTGCGTATGATTTTACATATAGATTAAAAAAAATTCCAAAAATTAGATGTTGGTGTATCCAGCAATTTGTTTGTTTTTCTTCAATCTGAATGCAGAAATGCAAATCAATAGAATTTTTTCAGATAAAAGTATTAGGACTGTAGGACATTCAGTTCAAAGTTCAAACCATCACTTCCATTGGACCCTTTTTTGTGTTTTTATAGTACGTAAATGCGCATCTAATGCCAACAAAAATAGTGGAAGCTCCAAACCTTCGCAGATGCAATGTTAGTGCTCCAAACCTTCGAAGGTGCAATGTTAGTGCAGCTTTTGCAAGACAGCATAAGAAGCTAATGTCATCACACACACAACCTTTGATCTCTGAAGCAGAGGTCTAAGGTATCAATCTTTCAAAAAAAAAAAAAAAACCATCAAATACTGAATTTAGTTTATATAAGGCATCAGATATGTATAAATCACTATCCTCGTTTGCAGTAGCTACTAAAGATCTTCAAATATGTTATAGTCAAATGTCTTAATGCAGTATCTGAATGAGTTAAAGCTGTCTTCTAAATATCTGCCTATATTCTGAATGAATTCGTGGTGATAAATCTAATTATCAAGTCAAAAAAAGATAATTACCTCGTACTCCTTTAGTCAAATCTGTATCCCCGGGTGAACGGCAGAATACTAAATCATGGTGAAACTTATCTATCAGATTTTTTATTATTTTCACCCGAGTGAGTGGAACTCTTTCAATAGCAGTGCAAGCAAGCTTCATTAGGGGCATTGTGAAAGGCCTAATTCCATCTGTTTGCTGCAATAACAGAAAATTCATCATAAAGGAAAATATGGTCATTTCCAAAAAATTCCACCACAATCCCAAAGCCATGTGTCAACGTTCAATTACGAAAAATAAAACTTTGGGTTAAAAAAGTGAAATTGCTATTGACCTAGGGTGCATTTAGAAAGGTTCTTTTGTAGAAAGGTAGCAGTAGTTTATTATATAAGATTTCAAGGAAAATAATGATATATCATATAAGAAACTCTATAGTTCCAAAAAATCCACAGTTGAAAATTTCATTAGAGGTGGGTGATAACAAAACCGAGTTTTAGAATTGAGCGACGATGAGATGTCATCAACAAGGTTCAGAGATTTATGAAGTCAATACAAAACAGCAAATCTGAGTAATTCTCAAAGCAGAAAACCAAACTTTTTCCCAGGAATAACAATGTAGATAAGTTGGTCCAATGAATGAAAATCAGATAAATTAGTCATTCAACCTTGAGATTCAAATAATCAAAATTAACTTCACAAAAGTAGGAATTTAAACATGCATATCCCATCACAATTTTCAGCTTAGTTTTGCTCCACTGTAAACATTTAATATTTTAGACATTGCATAAAAGCAAATCACATAGTCAATAGGTGGCATTCTAACTAGCAGCAAATTTTTGAATACCCATGCCTTCTCACTTATCAAGGGTGAATCATCTGCGAGAAGTGCCATCAAAATCCAAACTTCATACTAGGATAATTGAAGACCTTAACAATGGCATATAAAAGATGGTTAAGAACATTTTCTTTGAATAGAGATATGATTTTTCTAACTCCAAAAGAGGATACTCCAATTTCTGGTTCTCTTTATTGCATTCATTGATAGAATTTCTTCAAACTTTCACTTTTGATCATACAAAAATTGGGCACACAGTTCAGCAACCAACGAAAAGGATATAAAAAATGCTAACCAATGTAGTCAATGCAGGGGCTCAACCAAGTAGAACCTTCAGCACATTCACTTTCTAATGAGCTAAAGGAATAATTGGGCATTTAAATCAGAGTTTAAATCAGCATTTGAACAAGGAATGCTATCTTATAGCCTCCAGCTCTAATCATCCAGCCCCAACAACTAAAATCTCAAATAATAAATAAAACTACCGAAATTACTAAGCAGACGAGAGAGGATTCCATAATGGAAGATGAATGAGCAGCGCGCACTGTCAACTGAACATTAAAAATACATCACAAACTGAAAAAAGAAAGAGCGAGCAGACCTGGTATTCCCACTCGGCGGCAATAGCCTTCGCTAGGGCGAGGTTTGGGAGCTTAAGCGGTCGCTTGTAAGGAGTTTTGAGGGTACGGTAGTCGAGCATCACCGTCCAACCGTTGCCATCGTCAGCCATCCGGGTGGTCACCTCCTTGTAGAAGCGCTTCCCCACTACCGATCCCGTCATGAAGGTCATTGGCATCGTCACAGACACCTCGTCGCGCGTCACTGAAGACGACGATGACGACGAGTTCGGCCGCTTCACGTATATCCTATCGTCCTTCTTCTCAGCAGTCTCCGATGGTGGTGTGAAGGAGGTGGGAGGACATGAATCCGAGGAAGTGGCGACGGCATTCGAGGAAAGGCGACGTAAGGCGGAGTACAGAAGGGATCGCCGGAGGGAGACCAGATTCATGAGGTGGCTCGCCGGCGATCCCATCTCTAGGTATTCCCGCGCGACTTAGCCGGTTTTCGAGTTAGGGCTGCGAAGTCGTAAAGAATATCATCATACATAGCAATAAAGGAGGATTTTTTAGCTCTCATAAGTTTCAATCAAAATCAATAAATTAATCAATTTTATCTTCATTCAATTTTCAATTCATTAAAGCTATCTTAAAATAGAATTGAATATATAGGCTTAAATGTGGGTGAAATGTTTATGAGTGGGTTGAGGGAGTCAATAGGCATAGCAAAAAAATTGGTGTTTGTCTATGAATCTATGATTGACATAGCATAATTACAAATATTTTTTAAATCTTTTTTTTGGACGTTAGGAGATTCGAGCGCGGGTTGAGAGATGAAGAAGAACTTCTGTAGACCATCTGGCCGCATACTCGATCTCTTAAATTATTTTTTTAAAGCCACATTATAGGGCTTTCAGTTATCATGTGGACATGAATATTGCCACATTATAGGGCTTTCAGTTATCATGTGGACATGAATATTACAGTATAATTTAAAATTGGAAGTTGTCGCAATGAGTATCACTTGGCTTTCAAGGTTCATAGAAGAGTTATTTTTTTAGGTACTTTAACAAAGCACGTATTAAGAACCCAACCATAACATCTTATCATGATAATAAAGTTCACTCTTAGCAATAGGTTCATGTTTTCATCTCTAGAAACTAATACAATTTAATGACAATTAGTATTTCTGAGAGTTTCAACGATATCATCAAAAGAGCAAACTCCCTCCATTGGCTATGTTGTTACAAATTATAGGGTGCATTATGCAAAAATGATTATTAAGTAAAAGCAACTGCAAATATATTTTTAGAAAAAAAAACAAAAAACAAAGTATAAGAAAAGCTCCTAAATAAGCCACAAAATATGAGCGCTTGCCCCAGTGATAAATTTAAGTTGTAGGTCATTGTTGATGATGTTACTTTGAATGAGATGAAATGTATATGCATAAAGTTTGATGTTATGAGTATTCCATGTGAACATATTTTGCCAAATTCATGATCGGGATATTAGTTATTATACCTTTTATTTAAAGTTCTATACACATAAAACAAGATTAATTGTACACGTTGAAAACATATAACAGATAAATAAAGAAGGCACATAGGAGATTCTAGATGAAATAAAGGTAGGTGTTGTATCAATCCTATTTAAAAAGCCTATGAGTGGCCTCTTCTATTTGTTCTTCAGGTAGAAGAGAACTGATGAAGGTTGGGCGAGGATCCTCCTCAATTCCCAAGTTGACTTCTCTTAGTTCATCCATCGGGGTGTTTGGGGTCATTCTCACTTTATGAAGAGACATACGAAGCTGATGATTATGATGAACAGCCCGTAGAAGCCGAACCTGCACCAGAAGAGCTTGAAGATGGTGGACAGGCAGCCACTATGGATGAACTAAGAGAAGTCAACTTGGGAACTGAGAAGGATCCTCGCCCAACCTTCATCAGTTCTCTTCTACCCGATGAACATGGCCACACAAAAAAGTCTTCAAAATGGGAGAAAAGTACGGTTCAGCATAGATATAACTGATGTTGAGTTATAGGTCAAAATAAAGTTGCATGTAGGACCAAGTGCCTACCACCTTAGTAACTTTTCATGAATCAATTGTAATTCCTAAACTATAGTATATGAATGTTTGTACAATGACATACTACTTATTATTTTCATGCTTTATCGATATAATTAGCTCAATTTGCTTATGTATGTTATGATCACTCTCTACATTGTTTGAATCTATTCAAATCATATTGGATCATTATTTGAACATGTTATAACTAACTTTGCTATGTTATATTTCTTGTGATTGCTCACTGTATTTGTTGTGTTATATGAAACATTTAATGAACTTTTATTCAAACTTGCTATTCAACCATTTTATAAAATTTTCTAACAATATCGTATTTGAACCTTTTTAAATATATTCAAACCATAATTGAAAAGTTTATTGAAAAATAATGATTAAACTTCGATTAGGATTCACAAAATTTTCGATCATGAATAATTTTTTTGTCACATATGGTCTCAACCTTAATTGAATTTTATTTAAACTGTATTCGTATGCTATTCAAATGAATTTTGATCACAGTAGATAAAAAGTAGTATGATGTCCATAGTGAGGGTATTTTGGTCCTAACATAACTTCTTTGTATATTTTTTTCCCAAGGAACAAAATACTATGATATATTTCATCAATTTTAGACAAAATGGGGTAAAAAATTTTAAGGGTTGTTTGGTTGAAGGGGAAAAAAAATGCAGTGTAGCGTAAAAGAAATACACAACTTTTTTAACTTTTCAGTGTTTGGTTGAACAATGTGCAAAGTAAACTAAAATGTATTCCTAATTCCCCGCTAGAGCTCATTCCACGCATAAAGTTAACCTGCCCGATTTGAGTGAAATAGGAAATTACACTGAGTGAGAGAGTGGGAACCATCTTCATCTCTTCCTCCTCTTCATTTATTCGGAGTTGGAAGCTGAAGCCAACGTCGGCGAGAAGCGCCCTTTAAAATTCACTTAAGCTGGAGTCTCGCTCATCCTAGGCTTGATGTCTCGCTGGCCCTCAAAGCATTGAACCAATTCCGTCTGGCACTCGTTCCATCCAATGGAGTTGCACACATGGGTTCGAGTTTGTCCCTGCTCCAAATCGAGACATCGTCACACCTTGAAGCTTCGATTTCGAGCTAGATTCTCTTCCCTACCTCTGATTGAAGCCTCAATGTAAGATGTCAAATCTGTTTCACAGTAGGACAAAATAGACCTCACAGGTGGTTTTCACGCTAACAGGATTCAAATTGTCAAATTTGTTGTGGGTATTATTGATGAAATGCATGTTTTGTTCGGTCCACAATGGATGGTGATCACATTGCCTCACGTCTCGGTCATGCCAAGCTATTCAAAATTTGCCAAGTTCAACCACTAACGTCCCAATTCCGCCCAGTTCGAATGTGAACATCCTGCTAAAGCACGACATTGTGTTGTTATAGAGCAAGATGACTCAAGCAAGGCTATGGGGTTGTGAACGTAGTAGAATTTCAGTGAAAGTACACATATTTTACTTTACTTGACATTTATCCAACCAAAAAAAAAAAAACATATTTCCCGCATTCACTTTACATACAACCTCAAGTATTTAATTTACACTGCATTCACTTTGCAGTAAATCAAACAGTCTCTTAATTTTTCCTATGTATAAGACATAAATTTTACATACTAATAAGACAACACTCAAACACCTCTTTTATAGAATACCATCCAAATATTAATAGTATAATGAAGTTCATAAAGGGCTATAATGTCGTTGTTTATCAGGATAATTTGCATTGTGGGAGATAATCATGGGAATTTAAGATGAATAAATTTGGTGATGTTAAAAGAAGGTTGGGGCGGGTTGGGGTTAATTTAGTGTACATCACTAAGATTTTAATAAAAATGATCATTTTACTCAACTCAATGCACATGAGTAATAAAACACAACAACATATAATATTTATAGCATGATAACAATAATATCGATGCTTTTTGCAATTTGTTATCAATTTTTATTGGGCGACTTCCCTAAGCTCTTTTTTTGGGTTGTAGACTCGAGTGACTTGTGAGGCTATTACTACCAGGTTGGTAGGTGGGCATCTCCTATAATTTTGATGAGGGGCCCTCTAAGTGCGATGAATTTGTAACGCCTTAGAATTCAAATTCGAAGAATTGTATATTTTTTAATCTTCTTAATTATTATTAGAGCAACTAATTATCCATTGATTTAATAATTCTAACGAAAGCTACTAATATCATATGCATCAAAATGTAATTCTATATTTATTCTTTCAAAAGGCAATTTATAATAGCCTTGAGATCATTCAATACATTGATATATTTTTCAGCTCCTAACTGTAAAATAATAAAAGAAAATAGAAAAAATAGAAAATATGAAAATATTGATCAACCTCACTTGATAGGATCCTGAACCTTTTTTAGACTTGAAATCAAAATCACATGATGAGCATATAAAGCCCAACATACAATCAAAACCTGCTATTGCATTCAATGTAATGCAAACGAATCAATATATATGCCCAATCCATATCAATATCAATTATTATACATCAATATGAATAATAATCAATATATGCAATCATCATCAATCACAAGTAGAAACCAATAAAATCAATAAAATCATAGTATATCGATAAGTAAAAAAGTCAACCAGTCTATAATAAAATCAATAAATAGTCTATCAAACAATAATATGTATTGTACAATAAATTAAGCCTAAATTTTCTATTATGGTGATTATGTGATTATTCTATTATCAGCTTTTAGCAATTATTATGTTATGTATTAATATGTCTATCAGTATCTATCAGTATCCCTATCACATGTAATTTCATACTGTATCAATCTCAATACTAGTTCAACAAGTCTATATAAGTTTTATTTATAAATCAATTCATATGCTCTTATGTAAATACATGCAAATATGGATACAATTATTAAGTTATATGATATTTTCCTGTATCTTGTATAAGTATCAAGCGTCAACTGTCAGACAACTATCTTGTAAGAGTTGTCACTCCTGCCTGTTGCCGTATTTTGTTCACTTATGACTCCCTATCTTGTATCTTGAATTGAGATTATTGCATAACTCATAATTTAAAGAAAAGCATGTTGGTTCATCCTCATGTATAGCATTTATTGCTCAGCCACCCTAAATCATTTTATAACTAGCTAGTCTTTCTTATAATGCCACATTTATCTTATATTAGTCATATAATTTTCTATGAAAATTCAATATTATGTATGAGATGCAATTATCTATGAAATGTCTAACCATTTATAAACTATTAATTAGATAAAAAAATTATAACTATCAAAAATTCAATAATATTACAATCAGAATACTCATAAGAATCATATCTATCATACATAAAAAGTTATATGATGAAAACTCTTTTTTAAATATTTCAGAGAGCTCAACCCCATGATGACGCTTCCCATTATCGCAGCGTTCCAGTTCAAAATTTTATATTTTACATTAAATTTTATTTTATGGCATTTTGGGTTATTACATAATTACTTTGGATGGGGTGAGATTTCTTTATGGTGAGTTCTCATGAGGTGAGTACATCCTTAGGTTGAGACTTGTTAAGGGGAGTTTCTAAACAAACTTGTTCGAGGTGATCTTTCTTGGTTGAGCTCATTCGAGGGGAGTGCATACCCTTATTGAATTTTGCTGGGGCAAACCTCTATTTGAGTGGGGCATGTATTGGATGATTGCATCTCTTGGTTGAGCTCCCTTGAGATGAGCCTAGCTGATCTTTGTGACTTTCTTGTTCTTGCATGTGAGGGTGTATAGGTACAAGTAGTGCATAACACCCAAGCAAAGAGAGTTATCCCATCTATGCTAGAATAATATGCAAAACAATTTTAATGGAGAATCTTTGTAGATATAAAACCAAATAAATGTAGGAAGGCCTCCCACAATATTAAAAAAGATGAACATGGTTATCATTGACTGCCTTAACTCTACAAGGGAGTAAAATGCCTATCCCTATGAGATTTTCATGAGTTGAAGGTGTGTGAAGACTTAATGCATTGCTCTCCATGTGAGATGCCTACTATTTGTCCTCTCAATCATGAATTTTCTCGCCCTCCTCTCCTCTTTATAGTTGTAAAAAAGGCGCTCCTTTAACATCCAATTAATGTCATCTTAATCAACATTAATAAAACTTGCATGTCTTAACCATCCTTTTTACAGGCACCATGCGTGCTTTGTCATTGGCTTTTCCCCGAGCGGCCACCTATGTAGACCCATATTTTCATGATCATGACCATTAATTTTCATATTGATGTAGCTCAACAAGCATGAAATTTATGGAACTTTTTCTTAAGAATCATTTTACAAAATTTTGATGGTATGAAAGAGCTCTTAACGCATGTTATGATATGTGTGTAATGATATGCCTATCTAGTCAATCAACCACAACTTAAGCTTATCATAACTATAATTATACATGCTCTTTTGTAGTTGTAATGTAGCTTATCTAAAGGGGCTGTTTAGTAGAATATAGGTTTTCATTTAAGTAGGATTTCGTAAATCCTCCAAATTCGGATTTACGAAATCCTGGGGGTTAAATTCTGAAAAATGTTTGGTAACAATCATGATAAATCCAGTAAATCCTGTATGACTGTTTGGCTATGCAAGTCAGGATTTAAGGCAGTTACAAGATTTAACATTCACCGAATTTGTCCCTCGCGCGAATAAGTTAAATCCGCCGAATCGATGGATTTGCGAAATCCGGGATTTACCGCAAAAGGTGGTCTTTTTCCGTCAACTACGGATTCCATTTACCCTGAGATTTGGATTTGCATTTTAGGACGTTTGGCTGAATTTCGCTTGAATCCGGCCTAAATCCGCATACCAAACAGCCCCAAAGTGGCCCCAAAGTGTTGGTTATGAACTAAAACTATCAAATTATATTTTCCTTTGAAAAAATCTGTTTCATAAATCTTCTAACACACTTCAAAAATATTTAATTTGTCAATTCAAGAAGGCCCAATTCTTAAGAGTGAAAGTGATATGATATACACAAATTTGATTATTTTTTTCTCATAGGGGAGAAAATGGACTGACAAAAATAAGATATAGAAATGGGAAGGACGATACATTATTGACAAACAAGAGCAGTTGAGCGATGTCGCGAGGCATTGGATGGAAGAGCAGGCGGTTTTGTTTTTGGGAAATGGAAAATTGAAGGAAAAAGAAGGGGGAAACAAAAGAGAGAAATTCAGCGCGGAGAGTGCTCCTACTCGATCGCCGCGTCTTGCAATTTAGCCCAAAATAGTGGGATTGAGTCTGGAGATTTCTGATTTGTGAAGGCGCCGGCGGGAGCGGTGAAGATAGGTCTTGGTTTCGATTCCTTGTTGACTTAACTCTGCTCTGCTCAGTAAGCGCTCTACTTAATACTCATGGTTCGATCCTGATATATAAATTGTTAGTGATTCCGTTCTGAAGTGTCTTGCACTCTAATCGTTACGAGCTTCTTACCTATATTCGAAATTGTTTCTGCTGATAGTTTAAAGATTAGAGCTTTTTTTTGGAGGAAAACATGTTAATTATTATTTGGTAAAACTGTTTCGGATGTTGAAGTTGTTCTTATTTCCACATTCAGATGATATGGGAACTCTATGTGTTCGTTTTTTTTTTGTTCTCTTTGCTGTGTCTTAGCTATCATTGGATCTGAGAGGAATCTAGGGACATGAATGTTTTCTGTGTTTGATAGGAATGGGTCTCCTGCGTGATTTGTTTTAGGTTTTTGGTGGGTTGGACGGATTTTCTGTGTTAAATATTAAATTACTATTTATATTCTTTTTATTTTGTATGTATTGGCATGACTGGAGTGGTTTATTGAACTTGCTGACTTCTGTTTTTTTATTACTTCTGTCTTCTTGTGCACTGTATAACTCCAAAATGGGTTTCTTTTTGTCACCAAAAGGTGATACATTTTGCATGAGACGATTTCTGGACGCTGGGCATCAGTTTTTGTTGTTTAATTTAGGGGCTGTTTGGCTTCAAATAGTATTTATTTGAAGCAGGATTTAGAAAATCTTATAAATCCTATTTAGTAGATTCTGGAGGTGTTAAATCCTGAAAACTATTTGACATGAAAGATGTTAAATCTTAGTAAAACATTGATAGATTTTTTCAAGTTTTATGTCTTGGAAGGAGAAGAGGCATATTGATTAAATCTTTTAAATCATACTTTTTCCTAGATTTACTAAATCCAAAGTTTATCCTAAAATGAGAGGAAAATGATATTTAACAAAGTAGTAGGATTTATGCGGCACAAAAAAAAAGGGAAAGAATGACATGATTTAGCCTAATCTTTGCTAAATTTTGGTTAAATCTTGCAACCGAACATCCCCAAGAATTGATGGGTCCTTTTATATTTGGCAGCAATTTAGTTTACTCAATTTATGATAATTTTAATGTCAATGTCGCTTATGCTTGTGAAGTCATGTGTGCTCTCATTTTTCAGAGAGGAAAGGCTACAATCAAAAAGAGAAGAGTCGCGAAATATAGAGGGAAGGCGTAATGGAGCAGAGAGATACAGGAAATAGAGTGATCTAGTAAGTTTCATATGAGTACTTATCATTTCAATTGCTGTGAAATGAAATTTTTTTCCTTACGTAGGTTTTGGTTTCATAATCTAGAAAATGGACATAATAGTTCGCTTGGGGATTGTTGTAACTCCATTCCAAACCGAACAAGGATTTCATAAAATCAAAGCCAATATTTTTGAGGTGGAATATGGATTCAATTTATGAGAAGATGCGTCCATGTTCTTCTCTTCCTTTTTTTTAGTTTATCCCCCCCATAAAATGTTTATGGCTCCGCCACTATGCAGGACTTTGCTTAGAAGGGAAAACATTGGTATAGTACCAATGGCGGGACATGAAGCAACCCATTTGGAGTTGGAGGGAGTTCAAGGATTGCTTACTAAAACGTTTCGAACCAGTAGGGGAGGCGATTCTATGAGTAGTTCTTCGCCTCCCCCCCATAAAATGTTCCTGGATCCGCCACTATGCAAGACTGTGCTTAGAAGGGAATACATGGGCATGGTACCGATGGCGGGACATGAAGCGACCCATTTGGAGTTGGAGGGAGTTTAAGGATTGTTTACTAGAATGTTCCGAACCAATAGGGGAGGCGATTCTATGAGTAGTTCTTCGCCCTAACACAGGAGGGGACCGTGATAGAGTATCGTGACAGGTTCGAGTACCTTGCTAGCCGGCTAGATCGACTCTCATAGACAATATTAGAAGGGAATTTTATAAAATGGCTAAAATCAAAGATTCGAGCGGCAATAAGGGTCATGAGGCCTCGTGACTTGGGGGATGCTATGGAGCGGACACAACTAGTGGAGGATCAGAAGTACCAGAAGAGGGGAGCCAAAGAAACTAGTTCAGGCGCTCTTATAGGATGACAACCACCCTTCTAACACCCAAGGAGTCTGCATCATGCAACATTAATGAGAATCCCAGGGAGAATCCAACAGGAGGAGGAAGTGGGGGGAATTTCAAAAGATTGACGGAGAGGTATATGCAGAAGAAGAGGGGGAAGTGACTATACTTCAGATGTGATGAGCTGTATACTCCAGTGCACAAGTGTAGGGATCGAACCCTTCAGATTCTCATCGTCTGTAATGATGAGGAAATTGAGGAGAGAAGTGAGAGAAAGAGATGGAGGACAAGCTGCATCTGGACGTAATGGAGGCTTCCCTGAATTCAGTGGAGAGATTCACTATGAATCATACCATGAAGGTGAAGGGGGAAATAACTAACAAGGAGGTGGTGGAGTTGATTGATAGTGGGGCTCTAACCAAGTCGTGAACCAATTGGAGGTGACATTGGTGGATACATGGTGCTATGGAGTGATGATGGATACATGGAAGGTGAAGACGAGTCAGGCGATATGTAGGGGAGTAGTATTGACCATATAGGGGGTTTAGGTGAGAGAGGATTTTCTCCCATTAGAGTTAGGGAGCATTGATACCATCCAGGGGATGAAGCGGCTGCAGACTTTGGGGGGCACCAAGGTCAACTGGGGAGCATTGACAATGGAGGTGATGGTGGAAGGGAGAAGGGTAGTGATCAGGGGAGATGCGAGGCTCACAAAAGCCATGAGATCACTTAAAACCAAGGTGAGGAGCATACAGGAGGTGGGGGAAGATTATCTGATGAAACTACATAGGCTGGAGGGGATCATATTGGAGGAGGGTGGGACATTCCTCTTTTAGTACAACAATTGATTCATCAGTTCAGTGAGGTTTTTTAGCCGCCTAAGGGGTTGCCTCCTCCACAGTAACACGAGCATGCTATCATCTTGAAGGAAGTAGTTTCACCTCTTAGTGTTCATCCGTATCGTTATCCCTAAATCCAGAAGGATGTGATCGAATGATTGATTAGGGAGATGTTGGAAGCAGAGATCATTCAACCCAGTATCAGTCCATTTTTCAGTCCAGTGTTATTGATCAAGTGCTTTAGCAGCAATTTTCTTCGTTCCACCTTGAGAACAAGGTGACACTTTGGGAGGGGAATATTGTTAAACCAGTCCAGCCGATCCCTACGGGACCAACTCAACGAAATGGAGGCGGAACTCTTCCGCTTCTTGCACAAGCCGCTGGATCTAGAAAAGCTATTTAGGAAGGATTTTTGAGGGAGTTAGGAGGGAAATTTGAATGTAGAGACTATTTAGAGATGTCCTTTTTGATTGTATGCATTAAATATTTTGTTTTCTTAGGGTTAGGGCATCTTGAATTTGGGTTGAAATTTGAGATCTCTTAGTTTCTTTGGGCTCTAGCGGCGTCTAGAGATTTGAGAGAAGAGATCCTCCTCTCGAATAGAGGATCAATTGTATCTCGGCTTTTTCCGTTTCTATTTCATTAAATAATACACATTATCTACTGTATTCGTGGTTTTTTGTGGATTTTTTGTGAAGAATTATCGCTGTTTTTTGAAGATTGATAGGAAATACTTGAGATCTACAAGTGTTTCCTATCACAAACATAGTCGACGAGGTTCAATAAATTAAATGCCCCATAAAATTACCCGACAATGGCCGTGTTGACTAAAAATCTCAATTGGAGGGGACCACAAATATCTAAAAATACCTTCCCCAAATGTTTGGCTTATTCATTAAATCCAATGTAAATTTGAATATATCTTTTATATTAGTTTTTAATTTATTGGCTAGTAAATTCTCTAATTTTGATTTCTTTGTATTCTTTGAAGATATTCTTGTAAAGAATGACCTCAAAAGATTTAGATTTGTCCACCTCGGACACACATTTTTCGTGTCGGACACGCATCCTAGCTGTGTCAAGCACGTGTTTGTGTCTGACACGTGTCAGACACTCCATTCCCTCTTTAGAGGTTTGTCGGTGCATCATAGGTCATAGCTTTGCATTAATTTTGGAAGTCTAATTTAACTTATTTAGGTTTAAGCCTGCAAGAAAAAATTTCCTATCAACGTGGTAAATGCACAGCATGCATGGTTTCAAGGTTTATTAATTCTAGAAAACTTCAATTCTTGGTAGATGTCAATAATCTACATTTCTGCCTGTTACCTTTTTTTCTTTCCTGGTTGTTGATGTCTGTTTTTATTTTATTGTTGCATAGGCCGCAGTTAAAATGTCTCACTACCACATTGAAAGGATGGAACATGATTATGAAATCAATGATGTGGAGGATGACATGGAAGAAGAATTTCATAGAAAGGGGATGGGATACTCGGAATCTGATGATGATGAATATATACACATTGTACGCTAATTTCTTGAAAAAACTCCCTCTTTTGAAAACCAACTCCATCTGTTTTATTTTTTGCTAATGCTCATCTATGGAAACATACATGTTCTGAGAACTTCTATATGATCTTGCATTAACAACTGCATAGTTTTTCCAACTTTTTCATATAAAATTTATTTATACATTTAACTAGAATTTCATGCAGAATGGTGGAATAACAGATACTTCATCAACACAAGCAAGAAAAGGGAAGGACATACAAGGGATCCCCTGGGATAGGCTAAGTATCACTAGGGCCAAGTATAGGCAGACTAGACTAGAACAGTACAAAAATTATGAGAATGTTACCAATTCTGGAGATGCTTCTGCAAAGGTACATTGAGGACACATTCTGTAACTCTTACTTTTTGTTCTCCTAGCATCTAACTTGCTATTCTGATACTAAGGGATGCAAGCCAACGGAGAAAGGAAGGATCTATTATGAGTTTTGGCGCAATACAAGGTCTGCTAAATCTACTATTCTTCATTTTCAGGTAATGAAAAGTCATGCCTAATTTAGGACTCTCCACGTGCTTTTTCCAAAAATAATTTGGTTTTTTTGTTACTTTTAGATGGCACTTTGATTATAGCAGTTTATTGCAGTTGATGTTTGGTAATGCATTTCTATATCTATAAAATTCAGTTGCTTCTTGTTGTGAAAATTCTTGAACTAGGTTGTAATAAATATATCTTTAAACCTCCATATGATCTAACATCATCAAAGTATCTGTGATATCTTATATTGTAGGTACATGTGAGAATTTTCTGATTAACTTTGGTGCATGTCTTTCTAATTATTCATTGTCATCAGCATAATCAGTAGCATTCCAATTATTTGGGTCTGGTTTTGTGGATTATGCTGTACTATTTATTCCTATTAAGTGTTGTAAGAGTTGTTAAACATATTATTTGCAAATATTTTTGAATTGCTTTTCTACTTGTTGTCTTAGATATATTCTTTATCCTTCCTAAATCTTCGATATTAATTTTATCCATCCATCTGATTGATGCAGTTTTACCCTTCATTGTTTATTTTTGAAGTACCTTAGTGTAATAGACTGAGCATGATATTACGTGCAGATATCTAAATTAGGGCAGACTGTGCATTGAATAAATAAACACACTTCATATATCAGAATGAAAAATAATAGATTTTTCTCAAGCCTCCCATCAGAAATGTATTCTTATGACTCTCGTGTTGGCATATCAAAAAACAAGTCTTATGACTCCCAATGCCCAACACCATAATAAAATGTGCATATAACATCATAATAGAATTTCATGTGCCTTCAGCACCATAATAGTACTTCCCATCACACATCAAATCTCATTAGAATCACACATTTCAAGCAGATAAACATATAATTTATTGCATTGCAGTGAAAGAAATATATAACTTGGTTTGAAAATATTAGAAAGGACCATTCTTTATTAGATTTAAATGAGAATTTAACTTTTAACATTGCACAGTGGATAAAAAGGATTCATGTAGCTGACCTTACATAGTGGATAAAGGCTTGTTGTTGTTGTTGTTGTTATTGCAGTAAAAATAATATAAATAAACTCATTTCAGAATTTGACAAAATGCTTTGAAGATAGTTAGCAGAATATACTACTGAGCAGAAATTCACTATTTTAGAATACAACTAAATAACTAGAGATGGCTCAGAGCATTGTTTTGAAGTTTAATTGTATTACAACATTATTTTAAGGTTATAATTATTTTTCAAACAATTAAAATAACACACTTTCCAAAATCTCCTGTGTAAAATTTTCAAAAATAAAAACATAAATGTCCATATTTATTGCCTAACATATAGAAAGTTATGCGGTAACAGTTTTACAGGTGTAAACTTATTCCAATTTTTCATTAATAGAATTATAAATAAAATCATGAAATGCCTGAATTTTTGTATTTTTGAAAATTGAGATTGATAAAATATAATCTAACCTCAAACCAAACAACTTTCAAAACTAGGCTGACAACTGAAAATGGATCGGAGTCGCCCAAAATTGGCTTTCTCTCTCTTGTATTCCTCCTCTCTTTCTCACTAGTTGACTGCCTTAATAGATATGGAATGAATTGAATAGTGGAAAATGATATTTTTAATATTAAAATTTGGCAGAGCGATGTGGCGCCCAATCATGCGCACCGCAACGCTCCCTCTGGGAGAGCATGGCACAACAGTACCACCTTTAGCACCACAACATTGAATTAATTTGGTCAAAATACAGATATCTCAATGCTGCAGTGTTGTCTAGCCCAACACCACAGTGCCCTTGGGGAATTTTTTTTCAGATTTTCAAAACACGCACACAGACCCCCTTGGACCTGTTTGAGAACACATGCAGTCTTTTGCATGCATACAATACATTTTTAAACACATGTAGAAGGATTTAAATGCAGAAATTCAATGGATTATCTTAAATCGGATGGGGTCAGAACAGATGAAACAATGCACTGATCTGTAGCTGTTATATGAGGAACGAGAAGTTTTATGAGGGGTCAATTTATATCTATTTTCCTTTTCTTTGCTATTATTATTATTTTAATTTAAAAAATTATTAATATATAATCATTTCAAATCATACCCATATCACCCCAAGCCCTAAGTCAATCAAATCTTGCATCAATCATATCTTGCCATTTCAAGCACAAAATATAAAAAAAAAGAAGAAGAAAACTTTCCCTTATATTACTTTTAGTCTAACAATCCAGCTCCATCTCAATCTTTTGTAGCATGAACCTCCTACCTGACCAACCCCAACTACTCCCCTTTTCTTCTTCACACAAAGGCCAAGGCCTTAACCATCCCTTATCCTTTCCATCGACCTACTTGCTCCCACAACCTGCACATTAACCCACCACTCCTCTCCAACTCCTCAGGCGATATTCCAAACATTAGCCTTCCCTTAAAGCTTGCTTTGTGATTCATCCCTAGTTGAGCTCCTCTAATAGTACTCCATCTTTCCTCCTCCCAAGACGTAGAGCTCTCAATATCCGACTGACCCCTCAGCCATCGTTTCGCACACCTGCAACGACCGCAATCCCTCCCATTTTCCTCTTCATACAAGACTACACCCAAGGCCGCATCATATCCTCCCTCTACTTTGACCCCAACTCTATCCAACCTGACTTCCATTTTCTCGCCAGTAGTCATCGACTCAAATCCTGCTGCATCTTCCTCCTTCGACTTGCACATAGCTCGACTCCTCCCAACTCTTCCAACTAGCGACTGCCAACACCCCTACACCTTAGCCACTAGCTTGCTGCCGGCAAGCCTTTGCTCTCTCGTGAAACCCAACCTAGGTTGAACTCCTACTCAGCTGCTCTAACCCACTAGTTGCTTCCCTCTCTGTGCATGACTTTCTTTCTCCTACACACTCGAAGTTGTCTTCAACTTGTCAACCATTCAACTACCTGATCTCATCTCCGACGAGCCAAATAGCCACCCTCCTCCCTCTAGCCAACAACTAAACCCCAAGCTCCGCCTAAATAGAGAGGGATATCAATGTTTCTCTATCTGATGTAGTGTCAATGAGATCTTTATAGTAAAGACAACAACTTGATTGGTGTCCTCTTATGGTGATGATAGAATAGTTATTTGGGTGGTGTTGAAGATGAAATTCAAGTTTTTGAACATATATGAATATGAAACTTCTAAGCTTAAAAAAGATGGGTTTTCCTCAGAGAAAATTAACAAGAAACTCCAGGTCATGTTAGAGAACTAATGGTGGTGTTTTTATGAATTTTGGAATTTTTTTTGAAATTATGAAATTTTAATCTAGTTGTTCACAGTAAGAAATTGCCTCCATATATTAGAACTTCAACTATGATATATTAGGGTTCTTAGGGATTTGAGGTCTTGAAAAGTTATGAGAGGAGATGAAAATTGTGTCGGTAAAAAAGAGAAAAAATGACAAGAAGAGATAACTAAGGACTCACCAAAGCCCTAGATGATCAGCCACCATGCTTCACCAATGAGTGGAATAGACACCAAGCTTTTCCACACAAAATTTGCACTAGCAAAAATAATTTTTTTTAATGAATCAATAGGTACAAAGTAAGGTCCTATTAATAGGCCTTTTCTAAGTCTATACAACTTTGGAAAGCTTTAAAAGCCAATAAAATACTATTTCATGAATTAATGATATGTCCTAATACTAAAAGAAAGAAAATAAAAAAATAATAAATTAAAAGCTTTCAAATATATGAAAGTTTGTATTGACCATAAATGTATATATATATATATATATAACTAGTAATTTTATATTTAGAACAAAAAATAACATGCCTATAGGTTTTGTGCCATGAGCTATTACCCTTATATGGTGCAAATACCACACGCTATTTTAAGCATGTGCTGCATTTGGCAAATGGCACCAAGGATGCGCCGCGCCGTGCCATGTGCTATTTTGCGCCATTGACATTTTAGTTGGATTACATCAGAGATCAGCCTTAAGCCCATATCTTTCTGCTTTAGTCATGGATGTTCTCACTAGACATTTGCAAGAGGTTGTACCCTAGTGTATGGTTTTTGCTGGTAATATTCTTCTTGTTGATAAGACTAGAGAGGGGGTTGAAGGTAAACTCGAATTGTGGACGTCGACTTTAGAGTCTAAAGGTTTTCAAAGAAGATCTAAAATTGAATATATGGAGTGTAATTTTAGTAGTAATAGATCTAGTGGGGGGATTGTGAGTTTGGGCGATCAGGTCATTAATAAGAGTACACATTTTAGATATCTTGGATCTATTGTTCAGAGTGATGGTGAAATAGATGGGAATATTATTAGTAGAATTCAAGTTGGATGATTGAAGTGGAGGAATGCATCGGGCTTGTTGTGTGATAGAGAAGTCCCCCTCAAACTTATGAGAAAATTCTATAAAATGTTGAAACTTGCAATGCTTTATGGTATAGAATGCTGACCATTAAAAGAGAAGCATAATATTGAGCTAAATGATGCAGAGATGAGGATGCTCATGTGGATGAATGTCTTTACTCTTAGAGACATGATATGAAACGAGCATATACGTGAAAAGGTTAGAGTACCTCCTATGGAAGTAGGATTAGAGAGAGTCGCCGGTTTGGTCAAATAAAATGGTGGCCTTCTGATGACTCGGTTAGGAGAATATATAGATTTGACTTATGTAAGATAGATGTAGACCTAAAAAAGACTTGGTTAGAAAATGTTAGAAATGACATTTCTTTATTAGATATAAATGAGTATTTGACTCTTAACATGACAATGGAGAAAAAGGATTCATGCAGCCGACCTCACGTAGCGAGATAAATGCTTGATGTTGTTATTATTGTTGTTGTTGTTGTTTAAGCTCATGACACTAGCCATACACACATTTTTCTTGGCAGGTAGGCAGGCCTAACACTTTTGATGACGCACGCTTACGTGGGAAAGAGGTTGCTAAAATTCGGACTAAACAAGCAAAGAGGGAATATAACATTAAATGTTGTATTCAAATAAATTGTAAATAAATAAAATTTACAAACTAAAGAAAACATTCGAATGCAAATTGAACTCAAGCATGGGTCTTATAATGAGCAGCTCGCCTATGAGCAAGAACAAAACTTTCTAAATCCATATAAACTTACAAATTTTATGATCATATAAAAAGAATTTGGCAAAATTAAAAAAAATGAAAAATATTCATACTTGCCTTCAAAACACTCCACCATATTTATAACACATACGCAAACAGATAAAAGACATTTCTTAAACCTCAAAATGAAACACAACACACATTTCAATGATAAACACCTGTGGAAGTAACTAAAAATTAATTATTTTATAATTACACATGCATTAAAACATTGTTAAGAGAGTTGCTATTTGCATGTTATACATTCTTGCAACTTGTATAGTTTTGATGATTCCAAATATTATTGTTTTAAGTATTATATTCTCCTAACATTTTTTGGAAGAATTGTTTTTGCTCTTGTGTGGACTAATATTTCAGGAAAATCGAACTCCAGACTAAAGAAGACTTCAAATCAAATTCAGCATGAGATAGTTTGTAAATTGAAGTTTTTATTTTTCATTGTATTGAGTTTGAGAGAGTATGATTGTAATTGAGTAGCTTAGCACACACATACTTGGGGAAATCTTTAAAAAGTCATACTGATCGTACGGGTCGAACCAAGTTCGTACAGGATGATCAGGTCAGTTATCCCCTCGGAAGAGCAATGGAACGAACAGGAAGTGAGAAAATTTTTTCTAAGTCCGGATCGTCTAGACGAATTTCCATATTCGTCCATGGACGATGTTCTCTGGATTCTCACTTTGAACTGTTCGTCCAGACGAAATGTACCATTCGTCCCTGGACGAAGTTCTCTGTACACTTGAGTTACACTGATCGTCCAAACGATTCATCCCGTTCGTCCCAGGACGAAGTCCTCTGGACACATGGGTTAAACTAATCGTCGAGACGATTCATCCTGCTTGTCTATGGACGAAGTTCTCTGGACACATGACTTGAACTATTCGTCCAGACGAACATTCATATTCGTCCCAAGACGAAGTCCTCTGTTCCCTGAAAATTTGGGACCGTCCTGCAGTTTCGTCAGAACGAACCCTTGATATAACTGTCCTCAAGTTGTAGACCTAAATGACCTTTCTTTATTAGATTTAAATGAGAATTTGACTCTTCACATGACACAATGGAGAAAAATGATTCAGGTAGCCGACCCCACAAGTGGTATAAAGGCTTGTTGTTGTTGTACTCTTCTCAAGTTGGGATTTAAGTTATGATTGTTCGAAAATTTTTATGTTATTTGTCAACTATCTAACACAACACTCTACTTTTATTGATGATATTCTTCTTGTTTATAAGACTAGAGATGGAGTAGAAGAAAATTTTGAATTATGGACGTCAACTTTAGAGTCTAAAGGTTTCCAAAGAAGATCTAAAATTGAATATATGGAGTGTAATTTTAGTAGTAATAGATCTAGTGGGGAGATTGTGACTTTGGGCGATCAGGTCATTAATAAGAGTACACATTTTATATATCTTGGATCTATTTTTCAGAGTGATGGTGAAATAGATGTGAATATTATTAGTAGAATTCAAGTTGGATGATTGAAGTGGAGTAATGCATCGGGCTTGTTGTGTGATAGAGAAGTCCCCCTCAAACTTATGAGAAAATTCTATAAAATGGTGAAACTTGCAATGCTTTATGGTATAGAATGCTGACCATTAAAAGTGAAGCATAATATTGAGTTAAATGTTGCAGAGATGAGGATGCTCATGTGGATGAATGGCTTTACTCTTAGAGACATGATACGAAACGAGCAGATACGTGAAAAAGTTGGAGTACCTCCTATGAAAGTAGGATTAGAGAGAGTCGCCTTAGATGGTTTGGTCAAATAAAACGATGACCTTCTAATGACTCGGTTAGGAGAATATATAGATTTGGCTTATGTAAGTAGAGGTAGACCTAAAAAAGACTTGGTTAGAAAATGTTAGAAATGACATTTCTTTATTAGATATAAATGAGTATTTGACTCTTAACAGAACAATGGAGAAAAAGGATTCATGCAGCCGACCTCACGTAGCGAGATAAATGCTTGATGCTGTTATTGTTGTTGTTGTTGTTGTTGTTGTTGTTGTTTAAGCTCACGACACTAGCCATAGACACATTTTTCTTGGCAGGTAGGCAGGCCTAACACTTTCGATGATGCACGCTTACGTGGGAAAGAGGTCATGAGGTTGCTTAAATTCGGACTAAACAAGCAAAGAGGGAATATAACATTAAATGTTGTATTCAAATAAAATGTAAGTAAATAAAATTTACAAACTAAAGAAAACATTCGAATGCAAATTGAACTTAAGCATGGGTCTTATAATGAGCAGCTCGCCTACGAGCAAGAACAAAACTTTCTAAATCCAGATAAACTTACAAATTTTATGATCATATAAAAAAGAATTTGGCAAAATTAAATAAAATGAAAAAGATTCATACTTGCCTTCAAAACACTCCACCATATTTATAACACATACGCAAGCGAATAAAAGACATTTCTTAAACCTCAAAATGAAACACAACATTTCAATGATAAACACCTATGGAAGTAACTAAAAATTAATTATTTTATAATTACACATGCATTAAAACATGATTATTAAAATTCAAATGAGCTGCCCCAGGAAGCCTGCTTTCATCTCGAGAAGTGTGCAACAACCTCTAGAAGCTTGTCGTTGCATCTAGAAGCATGTAACAACCTCGTAAAGCGCTTTGTCGCCTCAAAAAGCCTGCAGCAAGTTCATTAAGCATGTTAAGCATGCTAGCCATTGTATGGAAAAGCATGTGATAATCTTTGAAAGTTATGTAGCTGAACCAAAAATCTTGCAAGCAAATTAAATGTGTGGGAACACTCTACAAATGCATTAAAATCATGCAAATGTATCATATGAGTGTACCGAAAAGCACAATTGAAAGCTTGCAAACGTGCAAAGTAAATGCACTGAAATGCATATAAGTGCATCACATGAGCGCACCCCTGATGACAATTTTTAGCAATAGTGACCACCTAATGCAGGCAATGACTAGTGTTGTTAGTTGAGTTCACTATTGTAAATACCAATGCACTATAATTCACATTCGTAACTTAATGTTATGATGGTTCATAAAGCCACTTCTAGTAGGCCTTCATTCTCCTCCCAATTATTTTAAGATTGGCTATTGTTTCTCACCATGACTATGGCTGCAACTAATTATTAGTCTAGCCTCCCTAAGAGACATAAATTTTGAGAATGATGACTCACCCACTCTGCAGTCTACCCATAGTTGCTCCTTAGAAATACCTGATGGTGTTTAGGATGCCAAACCTTGTTGAAGTTGGCTCCATATTGCTAGGAGAGGTGGAGAAGCTATTCCTCTCATTGATTTCTAAAGGATCTAGCCTTTATCAATGCTAATAATAGATAGATTCACCATCCTTGCCTCTGGCCTTAGCTTACCATAAGTGGAGTGGGGTTGAATAAATGCTCTACAACCGTTCACATGATTCCTAAAAGTTGATTGGTGCCTCTCTTTGCTAATTGTTCTGGAACTCTTATCTAGTAACTCAAAAGTGTTTGCAAGCTCAATTACATAACTCCATAGTGCACTATGAGAGTAGAGTTTTTTTTTTTTTTTTTAAATTTATTAATGAGAGTAGAGTTGATGTGAATGCATCCATTAGATAGGCATTGCTTCCCAACCACATCTGCAAATGCACAAGCTACCCTTGACCCAATTTATGAATATTAGGTCACCAAATCGATTTTGTTTGACTTTCCAACCTCCAAAAGATGGCAATGCAAAGAGAACAAACTAAATTGATTTTCCACTATTCTTAACTTGAGGGAATGAGCCCACAACCCATGACGCAACCCTAGGGGTGAGAGGCAGAATAGTTACCCCACTCGAAGAGGGAGGAACAGGAGAGAACGATCAAGGGACCATGCTTTGTTTCAATATTCTTAAACCACAATCTTAAAGAACCCTTTTTTAACTACTATGGACACGTGATGATGATTTGCATGGAGAACATCTAATGATTGTGATTGTCTTGCTATAATTCATCTGATACTAAGAAACCCTCTTGTTTAAAGAGTTTGAAGATGGTGACCATGGTAGTTGAAGTGTAACTGGAACATGGATAAATCTCCACTTAAGAAAGGTCCTGGGGCTTCAAATTAGAACGTTTCTAGTCATCATGTCATGATGGATGATTGTAGTTTAAATATAAAATACATGATGGTTTAGCTATGGCCAATAGTGGCAGAATAGAGTCAATTCGAGTAACTAGTGGTGGAGCAGAAGCGGTAGAAGACACTGTGAACATTGTGTATATCTATTTCTAGATGTTGGTGAACAACAACTGTGCAACTAACTCACACACTAAGCTCTCATTGGATCTCATGGATAAGCTCAAAATCATGCTTTACTATGATCTTTTGCTCAAGTTAAGTCAGTGTGTCATCATCTGCTTGGGCTTGAGACCAAACTTCAAATATGTTAACTAGTAGTCCTCCTCAATAGTCATGTCATCATCAGATATTTGGCTTTCATCGTAATACTCCAGTTGGTCTAGTTCAAGAAGCAGCTGGATCTAAAAGATTATTGATTGTAATTTTAAGCTCAACTTTAGGTACAAAATCAGATTTGAGCACATCATCACACTCAGGCTTAATCAGTGGTGATTGATCAGCATCCGCACTAGCATTGGAATGTGGGGATAATGGAGAGGATTATTCCAATTTTGAGAGGTAAGTCTATATGTGAGAGCATCAAGTCTATCAATAAAAGTTTGATGTCATTGGTCTCTTTAATTTTATTTTTGATTTGATTCAAATATGAAAGTTCATTTTGATATTTGAATGTAGTTAGTCCCTGTATGTTAACAAAAACAATTTCAGATTTCTGATCTCCTTTAACTGTTTGCGTGCATGCCATCATAACCTTACTTGCTTTCATACAATAAACAAACTGGGCTTTGGCTAGGAGGAAGGGATGGGAAAGGTCATCTCTCCATGAAACCAATTTGCTATTTGAGCTTAATGGAAATAATGACTGTTACAAATATATCAATTATGGTGAGGTTTTTATAGATTATTAGTGCTAATTGAAGGTCCCTTAGAATTTTTTTCCTTTCTAGATGCTTTCAGTACCGGAAAAAGGTCAAGCACTTCTTATTCCATGTTATACAGCTTGTGGTTGAAGTAGTCTTAGCTAATACAGTAACTATATATTTCTGATATTTATTGTTAGGAATTAAAAGGATTTTGTTATGTCTATCTTTTGTCAAATTACTCTGTCCTTCATTGGTCAGCACTAACCCGTCAACAATCTGAAGTGCTAGACGTTTCAGGTCATGTTGCTCCATCAGAGGTGATCTTCTTTCGATGAGAAATGATGTCAACTTCTTATTTTCTTCCCTTTTTACACGATTGTTTAGCGTTCTTAATTATCACCTCCATTCAATCACCTATAAAGACTGGCATACTACTTAAGTACTTTGATTTTTTCTTATACGCGTCTTTATGATACAGAAGCACCCCGGAAATCTTCAAGAAGGGTTTTCTCAGACTCAAGTTAGCACTATGGCAGTCAAGGATAAGATACTTGTAGCTGGTGGATTTCAGGGAGAGCTCATTTTTAAGGTGATTTTTTTGGTTTGGTTTTCTTATACCTGTTTTATAAAAATATGTTTTGGAGAGAGATGCACTAACAAACAATGAAAAAAAAGAAGTTTTGCTTCAAAATCTTAAAGGCTAATTATTAGCTCAAGTGCACTGTCAAGAAACTTGAACTAATCTGAAAAAACATTAAAGAATAGGAAAAATTGGCACTTTAAAGATAAAATCTGTACCAAAGTATTTTAATAAACTAGAAAATGCTGCTTTAAACTAAAAGGAATGGTGTAAAAATTTAGAAAGTAGATCCGAAATAGATGATATAGAGTGATGTTGTTTATATGATTTAGTTGTTATAGATACAACAACAAATTTAAGTTTTGCAAGTAACTCTTTTCTATGGTTTTAGTTCACTTTTTAATAGCATTTGTAGGTGGGATATAAGTAACTTTCAAGTATTGCAGTTTCACATTGGTAAGAGTTTTTTTAAATTTGTTATGGGCATTATATATTTTTTCTTTTCATTCACAAAATGTCGAACATCTTTCAAATGACTACTACGCTGTAGCATATATATATA